AATGGTAGTGGAACACTTGAATCCCTTGAAGTTCCCAAAGCGGACGTAAAACTACACTCACCCACGAGTTACCTCCCTTTTGTCCTTTTCACGCGCAAACAGTCATGTGACCCGCCTTACTTGTATTCTCTCCTGAATTTCTGCCCATGCACTTGGATCTGCTGTGAAATCCAAAGTGTCTTCAACGGGGAGGTTGGGAGGGCTTCTCGTCATGAGTCAGGATAAGAATAAAAATATCAAGTTTACTTTAAAAATTACATATTTTTACTTATCCTGACTCGTAATCTTTTGCTTATAGCATCCGATGGATTGGTGGTGGGTCAAACCACTTTGTGGATTCATCAGCTGTCCTTAGATACGTCCTGTATCCCCCCCATGGGAACTGCGAAACGGCATTTCCGTGATCCTATTCTTCCAACTTCCGTTATAACTCGTGGGGACCACTTTCTTGTCTTACTTCAGTCTCAGACAAGTTGAATCATGTTGGTTCATGTGGCTACAGATAAACTAGTATCTTCTTATTACAAGATATCTCATAACAACCCATAGATTATGATAAGATCTTTATCATAAATGAGTTGCGACCCCTTCACGTACAGGTAAGATCTTTACCCGTACAGGATCTTTAATCACTCATGCTAGCCTGTGCTAGACTGTGCGCATGGACTTTCAAACTAATACTTTTTGTTTAGTAAAGTTATCAACAAGTCAATGTGATAAAGGGTGAGATTTTCTTACTCAGCGCCTTTGAGGAACCGTTAGTTGCTGTGCTATAACGAGAGACCCAAATTGGTGAATGCCTGAGACGTCTTCAGTGGCTATGTCTCGGAGGTAGTAGTTGGCAAACACTGTGTCCGACTTCCAAAAGCAGCCCTCCATAATTGTTGGTATAGAGCAATTTCCGTGCAGAGCCAGTGTTGACGCCAGTGCTCTGACTTCGTGTGGGTTGGAAGCTCTAGGCGGTTCTAGTCCTTCTGCTTTATAGGCTCTCAATATGACGGCTCTCATCCAGAACGATATGGTCGTTCTTGAGACTTCTGCTGATGTCTCTGTTGATAATGGGATGAACAGGTGCTTGAATTTTTGTCTCCTTGTCTCAGTCTTTTGAAGATATATCTTCAAGGCTCTGACCAGACACAAGGATAGGTCCTCTATATCCTGTGGGCCGAGGATTGTAGATAGCGCGCTGGTACGTGGAACTGTCTATCTGGTTGACCAGGTAGTTGGTTCTTAGCAATGAAGTCCCATCTAAGTCCTAGATGAACTGCAGCATGTTGCCCCCTGTCGAATCTGGTTCGAGCAAAGTCCAGCGCATATATCTCTGATATTCGAGCTGCCGTGGCTAGCGCAAGCAGGAACAGAGTCTTCTGTGTCAGCAGCTCGAGGGTAGTCTGGTCTAGTGGTTTGTAGACATCACTCGTAAGATGACGTAGAATTACATTCAGATCCCAGGCTGGAGCTCTGAATTTCTTTTGCTGGTCCTCCAGTTTAAAAGATCTCAGTAGAGCAAGTAATTCTGGTACTTTCGTCAACTTGATGCCTGTTTTCATGGTAATCACTGTACTGATGGCGGCGAGGTATGTAGATAATGTCGAACCTTTCAGATGTCTGGTCTGACTAAGATGACACAGATATTCCGCCACTTGAGGATGAGTAGCTATCATCGCAGTGAAGCCTTTCTGCCTTGCATAAGTCTCAAACTTCAGCCATTTGTCATCATACAGGTTACGAGTAGATCTGCATAAAGCTAGCGTTACTGCCTTGGCTGCCCTGGTGGAGTATCCTCTTTTCTTCAAACATGTTTTGATACGGTCCACATGTGTAGCTGGAACACTGTCGGGTTCCCGTGGACTTGCTTGGTGTGCGGATGTATGAGTAGGTTCGGGCAAATCTGGTAACTTGATTACTGGACTTCCGAGATCTTCTATTAGGTCTAGGAACCATACTCACGCTGGCCAGTAGGGAGCAACCAAAGTCAGTTGTAGCGCCTGTGTCTGTTTGATCTTCAACAGTACTTCTGGAAGTAATATCAGGGGTGGAAACGCGTAGGCGTTTAGTCGTTCCCATGATATGCTCAGTGCATCTGTTGCCCAGGCTTGAGGATCTGGAACTGGTGAGACAAACGTCTGTAGTTGTTTGTTGAACCTCGTGGCAAACAGGACTATGCAAGGGGATCCTATTTCCCTTATGATGAGCCGGAACGCTTCTGGATGGAGCTTCCATTCCGTAGGTGACGGGTGCAGTGGTTGGGAGAGAGCGTCTGCAAGTACGTTCTTGGCTCCGGGTATGTGACACGCCTTTATCCAGATGTTTGCTTCCTGCGTGATGTGGAACAACTGGAATGTGGATCCTTGCCAATTTATGCAGAATGCCACTGTAGAGTTGTCCGTGTGGACCATCAGCATTCTGTTGTTCAGCGAGCTCGACCATAATTGTAAGGCGTTGATCACAAGTTCAATGTTCTCGAACGTTGAGGGTTCGCAGATGTAGAACTGTGAGTAGGCATCTCATCTCTTCTATCCTCTGCCAAGATGACAGACTCGTCCGACTGTGGAGGCCTTCGCAAAGGTGTACATTTGCCAACGTAGTCTTGAGACGTAGTTCTATGAGGAGTAGGTTCGCGCAGGTCCGTAGGTTCGCACATGTCCGTAGGTTTGCGCTTGGTGTCAGTAGATGAGAGGCTTCTCCGAGCCTTCGCTTCTTCCTGGAACCTACGTTCAATCACGGCCATCATGGCCATCATCTGGTTGGTGAATTGTTTCATAAATTCGCCCGGGTCAAAGTTCTGCATTGGTTGAAGCTGCTGCGGTGTAGACGAAGCGTTCGCGAACGCTGATGAGTTCTGCGCCTCAACTTCACTCTGTTGAGAAGTAGGTGGTAGTTTGTCAAAGCAGGGGACGATCTAGTAGTTGTAGAGGTCGATTGAGTCGCTGATCTCATAAGTACTTCGGGTAGAAGTAACGAGAGGTCATCAAAGACGTCTACTTCGTGTGGAGGTAATATCTCTTCGTTGAAGGATTTCTGCTGCGTTGATTTACTAGCACGCATAGATTTGCCCTCCAATCTGGTAACAGATGCTTTCTTCTGCGATGTAAAAGAAGATGACGTCTTTTTCTTAGCCTGAGACAGAGTCAACTGCGTTGTAGACAATCTCTTCTTGGCCCCCTTACCAGCAGAATGCCCCTGTAACGCACTAAACATAGCACCAGTATTATGAACTTCAGCAGTAGCAAGCAACATACGGTTTGAGGGCTGATCTCCAGTTTTATCGGCCGTGACTTGAGATGACTTTCTCACCCGATCCATTGCACGTCTATAGATGTAAGACAAATATTGATTAGATTGAAGATTTGATAAATAAACACAATAAGTACAGCGCAAGCTGGAAGAACCTGGTTTTATGCACGAAGGGCACTGGGGGTGAGGATCAGCCACGGATAACCTGTGCCTGCAAACACTGCAAGATTTTTATGAAATGTAAACAAAGTTCCATAACGATGAAATAAAGACACAAATGCAAATAATTTCTACAATTTTTTTACATATAATACACAGTAGTTATTGCCAAATCCATATACAGCGTAATTTTGAAGAATAGGACCTAAATAAAAAGGATATAATGCCGTATACGGGACTCCAGTGCTCGCCCAACCATCCGCTTGGGCGAAAAAGGAGGGGAGAGTGACAAGTAAGGCCACATGACTGTTTGCGCGGGAAAAGGACAAAAGGGAGGTAACTCGTGGGTGAGTGTAGTTTTACGTCCGCTCCGGGAACTTTAAGGGATTCAAGTGTTCCACTATCATTCGAAAAGGAAAGGGAGATAAGCAAAAGATCATGAGTCAGGATAAGTAAAAATATATAAACTAATTAGGATTATACGACAAAATATAAAGACGTACATTGACTTCGTTATTTTTCAGTCCTGACATTTTTTACCACTGGCAGATAGTTAAACTTCAAACATTTTGGATGTGTTATCATACAACTGAATATGGAAATATTATCGAGTAAAAAAGATTTAATTTTGCTTATCATTCTATACTTATACTATCAATTGCGCATGCGGGTGGCGCAGCAGAGGTCACGAATCAGTCAAGAATTCTGGGGTATCATCCCGGTACTCATGGGAGAAAAACAATAACAAAAGCAACAACCAGTCCACGGAAATTTGCTCTGGATTAGTGCCCCTTTAAGGCTACAAAAATCACCCCCATTCAAACATACGTTTTCCCAAAATGTACAACAGAATGTTATGCATATTCAGGTTCCATACAAGTTAGGAACATTTAAGAACATCTCAGATATCACTGCTCAGACAATGAGACATCATTTCCATTTTTCCTCCAAGATATACACTCGCGTAACCTTGATTCGTGCATATAAGGAAAATGCGGCGAAATCCATATTTTAAATGCATACTTTCATTTTGTATACGCACTGATTATTTTATTCATTGATTCAGCAAATTGAAAATGCCTAATATTCCACTTATGAATGAAATGTTTGTTTACGGAAGCCATTTGCAATCATCACCTATTCGTGTGCCCACAAAATGTGACGTCACCTTGTTTCATGGACTACGTTGTCGGTTACTCTATACCACAATGTACGACTTCCCACTACAGTAAGTATTGACACCAAGGAAAGCAGACAACGAGAAGAGAGAATGTTGGAGCTATCGGTATCTTTTTACTTGACATTTTGTAAAAATAAAATTTGGCAATGGTGGTATTAGTGATTTGGGGCTTTTATCTAAATGCTGGAAAATTATATTTAGTGTACTTGCGTGTAATGCAGAGATTTGGAACTTTTTTTGTCAGCGAGGCATGGCATTGTATGTACATCAAAAGTACCGCTTCGTGACGTCAGTCGAGACTTAATTTACGAGCTAGCATGATAAATTCCGTGATCTATGAATCAAGGTTATCCACGAATTTAGGTTACGCTTCTGTATATCTCTCTATTCCATGGCTGAGTGTTATAAAGAATGAGAGACCTACCCATGGCGTCTCCCCGGTCAAACATGTTCATCTTCCAACTGGAGCTGCCACCACCTGTAACACAGTCACAACATGTATAACAATAGCTCATCTTCTAAATATCCTTTCCATTTTCCAGTCTTAAGGGAAAAAACCAGAAAGTTAGTTAAACAAGTGACAGCTGTATTAGAATATAAGACACATACATTCAACATATGAGACACCAGTCTGTCTCACAGACCATGAACCACATTTTCCCTACTGCCAAGCCCTCTCTGCAGTGCTAAAGCCCTAAATAAAGCAAGTCTAGACTTCCTCAGGTTCTGAATCTCTGGTCTCCCTAGGCCTCCTTTTCAATTTAAATAGGCTTGTTTGTTACTAACAAAATTATATATATTCAGAGACTAAGCATTAGTCTATTGAGACACTTTCAGCTATCCAAGTGTCACCATAGTCAATGGCCAGTGAGAGAGCAGCCAACACATCAAAAGAGCAGATAACAGCATGTACAGAACATAGTTAACATTTGAACACTTTCTATGCTTATTGTTTCTTGCAGACAACGGGAAAACAAGGAAGCACGTCAGTCATAGTTTAACTTATTTGTCAAACAGTACTATGTGTCTGTGACAGGAGGTGGCTACATTATCTGCTTTGACAATCAACATCTCCAGTGTGGTTTCTTCCATTATTGTTTCTGTCAGACAATTTGTGCATGTATGCATATGTATGCTTTAAGTCAGACCAGTGGTAAAAGGCAAAGTAACAATGATTGTGCAAAAGCACTTCGATCAATGATGATAGTTCATCTTTATCATATGGTATACATTATCAATGCATTAAACAGATCTGCTCAGTAAATAACTATTGACTTATTGTCCCAATGTGTAGATTGGGGTTTCCTGGTAAGTGACAAATTTATAGGTCTGTAATTGAGTAGCATTCTAATTTAAAAGAGGTTAGCATGGTTAGGACAGACTGCTTGCCCTCTTTATAGAGCTGCATGTCACATTTCTCCTTTTGCACAAGCATGTTTATCAAACGGTTCAAAAGTTTGTATCTTTGTTCTGGATCACTGCGAACAATTACAACTAGTTAATTCAATCTAAACAATTGTGGTAGTTGATATTAATTGTGTTTAGTTATTTAGCTGTTCTACATCAATGTGTTTTACATATTTTTCAGTGATATATCTGATACTGCAGTAACTAACACTGATGTATTGTATATGCCAGGTGACTGTTTATTCCTTACATACATAAACAAGAAATTAACACATCTAATTATAAAAATGTGTCTTATTCCCAATGAGTGAATAGTTGTATGTCGGAACATCTGAATATCTTAGGTGAGAGAGAACTGTGCACAAATGTGAATCAGAACATACGTTTGGAGTGTAAAGTGTATTGATATGTTTCATGCTTTTATAATGTTTATAGATACAGTCAGCCCGTGTTAGTCCGGTCCCTGGTAATCTGATTCCTGTGCCATCCGAATAGACTCAAGCTGAAACCAATTTTGTTTACTATATAAACACATCAATTGTTGATTCACTAATCCGATGCTTCAGTCTCCGACTCCGAATATCAATTATCGGTAAAGAATTAGCTAATTGTGCTTGTTCTTTCCCCATTAATCTGGCTGTACATACAGCGGCCATATTGCCTATCAATAGCAGGGCTCATTATCAGCAAACTTTAATGGCAATTAATACATTGCGAGTTGAACAAGTCATGAGTTTATTATTTTTAAATTAACAGGTCACACTTTGATGCCAGTTTACTATGTTTATTTCATTTGTAAGTTTGCCCCTTGTCATTAATGCTATCATAATCTCCAAAGCTAACTTCTTTGTAAAATGTCTTGTGTGAATTGATGTTGAGTATTAGTAATTCTTGTCAGACATATTGTTTCTTGTGTTTCAATCGTGGTGATTCTCAACTCATAACCTTTTGGATAGACCTTCCTTGAACTCCTCAAACAAACCTGGTTACTTTAACCACATGGCTGCACACGTGGCTTCAAATCTCTATGCCTGTCTGACTGTTGTACATTGTATAGGATGTATAAAACACAGAGTTGTACAACACTTGTGTACCTGATTTCCCCTTGGGAGCCTTGGTGGACTTGCCCTCTCTCTGGGTGATCAGCGTCTCATGCACAATCTGCAGGATGGGGAGGCAGAAAGCCTGGACACAGATAGACACAAGGTAACCAAAGGCTGGGTTTAGGCCCCCAAAAATAAATGTTGTGGTTCCGATTTCCTACATTTCAGAACTAGGGTAGGTAGGTAGGTTGGGTTTTTTTTCTGCAAAATATTTTTACATTACTCATGTGTCAGAAAATAAATTTAATTTATTATGTGGTGAGTAAAATTGTTAGGCTCGACGGGAAAATTTAGGGTCGGTCAGGAAACCGGAACCACAAGCTTTTTTTTTAGGCCTTAGTAAGATTATTGCCAATATCTTGTTTATTACAAGATATTGGCAATAATCTTACTAAACCCACCCTGATAATTCTAGTAGGATAATTGCATTGAATCAATTTTATTTTTACACCTGATGCCATAAGGCAAATGTAACACTTATAAACATTCACAGTAAAAATTAGAAGATTGACAATCAATTTAATTATTTTCATGTGGTATGAATGTGACTGAATACGTACAAGAAGACAAACACATCCCCATTATGAAATCATATCTTATATAAAACAAGAATCTCTTGTGTGGTTCAGCAACATAGCAAACACTCCTTAAATTGAAGTTAAAATAAAATTACAAGAAGAATCTAGTAATAAGGATCTATTAGTATCTAAACTTATACAAACCTGTAGAGGTTATGAATTCTTTGAAGAAAGTCCTCCTTGGGGTACATATAAGCATTTAAATGTCCATTTTAAATCCTACGACAGTTGTAACTATATTTTTAATAAAATATTTACAAAACAAAAACTCGCTTTTTGTCTTGTGAGAGACCACCCTACAGGGCCCCACCGACCCCCTACAGCCAAGAGCAGGTAACTCTCGCCGCCTACTCTCGTGACTCACTTTTCATGCTGAACGGTCAGACAGAATGAGGGAGTGGGGGGAGTCGCATTCTTCAAGGAGGACTTTCTTCAAAGAATTCATAACCTCTACAGGTTTGTATAATTCTTTTCAGAAGAAGTCCTCCTTGGGGTACATATAAGCATATGACAGACTCCCAAAGATATTTGAGACGGGAGTGGCATTCTGTCTGGCAACAACTAAACCCGTGGTGGAGTGAAATCTACAACCGATACGGAAATAGAAAAAACACCTACCGAGCCACCTGACCGCTGATGCCAATCAGACGGGGGCCTGAACTAGAGAGCCCAAGCTTATATGTCAATTGGCTCAAATCAATTATGACATAAAACCCCACCCCCAACCATTACAATGGAAAGGAATGTATGGGGACATGCCGAAACAACTCCCAACCCTAATATAGCCCCAGCCAGAGAAGCGTGGGGAGAGGTATAAGGGTAGGGAAAGCGTAAAAATTTAAACGCTAAAAAGCCAATAACCCAGGAGTCGAGCTAATAAGTACTGCAAACTAATGCTCGAATGCACCCCTCCTGTTTGGAAGAGGGCTTGCCGGGACCTCGATAAAACCCAGAGAAATTATTAGCCTCGCTAAAATCTTTCTGAGGAAATCGAACGAGTACAAACGCCATGCATTGTACGAGTGAAAAACAGGATAAAACACCCCCACCAAACACTCTCGGGCGTGAGGAGGGTAAGTGTAGACCACCATCCCACAAAGCTGATTAACACAGACTCCCAAATACCGGAAGTCTCGGAAGAGGGAAAAACTGTAAGCCGCATAAAAATCCCCTGAATAGCTAAAAAGAGATGTAACATGTGTTGGCTCACCATTACACTAACCTGGTCACTTGACATGCGGCTCAAGAGAGGCATACCAAACAGTGCCCCGTGGGGGTTCAGACCCAATTCCGCCGCAAGACGGTTAATAGCATATGACTGGTTAAAGCGCTCAAAACGGACCCGCCCTCTTTGAAGAGGACGAAGGGACGATGTACACCCAAACCCTAACCCAACCCGAAAGGATGGTAAGGCTAATAATGATGTAGTGATATGAAATATATCGACATTGAACACAGAACCGATACCAATGACCAGTTACTAACTTGGTCAGGGTGGCAGGACACTCTCCACTGGAGAGAACCGAAAGACCGAACCGAAAGCACTCCATCCTTAGAATGCGGTCAAGTTGGTAATGGCTTAACGAAGGTGTTCTGCCGGCTCCAAAGAGCGACAGAACCGATCTCTTCATTGAGCAGTGCCGCTGTGTATTGCCAACAAAGCCGCATCTGCCCTACCCAGTCTGCCTTCAACCCTCGGGAGGTAAACCTTATCATTGTAACCGAACAATTACGGAAACAAGCCAACGAGATAAAGTGCGCGCTTTGCTAGCAGACTCCCCAGTCTTCCCGCCACCAAACAGAACACATGGGTACCCGTGACGGATCCCTTTGTTCGTTCGCTTTGTGACAGTCACGGGTGAGCAATCGAAAAGATTGGTCCCCGGTGTGGAAGGCTGGGTAAGGGGTGGAAGCGCGATATGAGCAGTCACATGGAAAGCAATATCGAACTGAGAGTGGTAGGTATCCGGGAGGCTTAATACGGACATGATCAGTATAAAATACTGTCAGTGTCGGGTCAGTGGGAATCGCATGGATGTACCCGACCCTTCTACCAGAGCTCACCACAACAGTAAAGTCGCCTTCCACGCCAACAAGTGAAGTGAGAGAGACGATATACTTGAAAAATCAGGGCCAGACAGCCAATTGAGAATAAGTGGCAATTTTAAGGTATTGGGTCGCGCTGAGGCGGTCGAACCCTGTTCATGCCAGCTACGACGCCGATGTAATGAGAGGATGCTGCTCTAGGCAGAGCACCATCGAACGAGGTGTGAAACGTGGAAATAGCCATGGAGTACCCGGAATGGTGGAGGTCATAAGGCTCTCAACCAAAACGAGGTTATAGTAACTCCAATATCCGAACTAAATCCGCAGAATAGGGATTATGAAATCCCCCTATCTGCACACCAGCTTCCCACACCTATCAACACACTGAACGGGTGTCGAATCCCACCGAAGCCAGAATTGTGTCTGCAACGGTTGCAGGAATTCCGCGCGCGGTCTGGGGTTATACCCGACAGAGGCCAAGCCACCCAGTGAATCTGGAGGATTCGGGTGTGGCTCGCTCAGAGTGAGAATGTCTGGTCGAAAAGGTAATTCAATCCCGGCGTATGGATCGAACACCAACCTGACTGCTGTCAATTCCAGCACATTGATGTGCAGGTTGTGACTTCGTCGCCAAGAGACTGCAGGTCGCCCAGAACATCGCCCCTAACCCGTAGGGATGTATCTGGCTGGACTGAGAGCTGACGGGTGTTCCAGGGGGGCCCTCGAGAGACGCTTGACGCCTGTCCATCTGACTGCGTGAGGTTGACAATTCCGCCCAGTTTCGTAAGATTGACCAACACTGATCGTGAGGTCCCCAGACTCAATAGTTATTCTAAAACCACGATGAGCCAGTCGCCTAGGTACGGGTGACAACACCGGCACTGCGATCTGGCTATCTGAGCTGTAATAAACCTCAATTTGGTGAACACCCTTGGCGCCGTAATGTAGCCTAAGGGGAGCACACGAAACTGGTAGCGCGTCCCGTCAAACAAGAACCGAAGGTAAATCTTGAAATCAGGGTGCAATGGAACAAGGAGGTACGCGACCTCGAGGTCGATTGACGTGCGCCAATCCCCTGTCGACAGATGAGATCACCGAGCGCGGTGTCTCCATCTTGAAGGACAGTACCTCTATTAACTTGTTCAGCTCTCAGATGAGAATGGGTCTGAACATTCCGTTCTTAATGGCAACGATGAAATAAATGGAGTCAAACCCCACATTTTCCTGACCATTGGAAACCACCACGCTGGTTGCCTTGCCCAGCAGAGACTGGATCTCGGCACGGAGTATTTTCGCCGTCTCCCGGGAAGCCGACACTGGAGTGTGTCGCCCGACCGGGATTGTGGCAGAATACAGTAAACCCCAGCAGTCGGCAACTTAACGCTTGCCGGTGCCTGGGCACCTGAGGAATTAACGAAGCTCGACAGACTTCCGTGATTCCTCGAAACAGTCCCCGGCCATAGGCCCATAACCGCGACTTCATCATTTGGCTGGCACAGCTACAATGCAGTCCCTAGCCAGATGAGAGTTGACCTCCGCCAGATGCCGCCCAGAGTCGCCGAATGAAAAAAACACCCACCGGGCGCTCTCCCCTTTCCACCAGCTCCCTCAGCAGAGCTGAGAGATGCCGAAAGTGGAGCATACAGCTGAGCTGTTAAGGGAAAGAACGGCAGACTGACGGTAGAGTGTGAGGCCTTTCCCCGATGCCTTGCTGGAAGCAGGCTTCTCCGGGAGGCTTAACTCCAACGGTTCGGTATTCGACATGGACAACACCCGAGGCAACACAGCCGCGATTCTATCTCGCACTTGCCTCAGGGACGAACCTACTCAGTGGTAAGGTCAAAGTAGCGAAATGAGCCGAAGCTCAAATCGACTTGTCCACTGTACGAGCCTGAACCCCGGTTCCGAGGCACATGTGAGAAGCCTGACAAATCAAGGTTTCACAAGCACTCAGACAGACCTCGGAGCGTCGAGGTGACCGACACACCCGGCACACTCGATAGCATCTTGGTCAAGACGTCGATAGACATCAGGCCGAGACCTGAACTACCGGCGCCGGGAATCGAAACCAGTGTCGAGGCCTGGGTCGGTGCTACCCACGGGGTTCAGAGAATCCGCGGAGCCGAAGCTCAGCGGTTCTAGACCAAACCCGATCCCGGAGACACGAGGAGTAGCCTGATAAATCAGGGTTCCCAAGTACTCTCAAAAGCGCACTGAGCATATAGTCAAACATAGCCTATAGCGCTATATATAAATACCCATACATACACATATATTTATATACATACACATATATATATATATATACATATATATATATACGTAAGTGCTCGGGTCGGCGGTTCGAGTTCGAACCCCGATCCCGAAACACATGGGAGTAGCCTGACAATGCAGGGCTCCCCTGGTGTACACGGGTAGACCTCGGCGCCGAGGTGATCGGTAGCTCCGTCACACTCAACGGCCTCTTGGCCAGGGCATCGATAGACATCAGGCCGAGACCTGAGCTAACAGCCGGGATCTGCTCGCATCGGGCCGAAGCCCAGGTTGGTGCTAGTCCGGTCTGCAGTCCCGAGACACAAGGGAGTAGCCTGGCAATGCAGGATTCCCCTGGTGTACACGGGTAGACCTAAGAGCGTCGAGGTGATCGGCAGCTCAGTGGAACCCAGACCGGGGCGCCGAGAGGAACCTGCCGATACAGGTTTCCCGGGCAACCCCGACTGACCACTAGGCGCCGAGGTGTCCCCGAGCTGGTCGGCGCCGAGGCGACCGCCAGTCTGGGCACCAGGCGAAGACAGGGTCAAACCTGCATCGCCGGCGCCAGGCACCTGTGACAAACCTTAGCCAGAAGCTAGGTCGCCACAAAGTGCCGAAGGCACACCATCACCTGAGCCGAAGCCAGGATCAAGCTGCCTGGGAGGAGGCGCATTCTCCGAGCCAGAGCTCGGGCCGCAGCCAACCCCACAGATGCGTCCGATCCACCCCCGACGACAGGCGTGCTGAGCTCCTTGCGGAACCCAGACAGCGCCGTGTCAATCAGGGATTTCACAGACGACACCTGGTTCACTTACCATCGAGATCAACACGTTGCGAGCCGAGCTCCTGACGGAGCCCGGACATCGCGCTATCAATCATCGACTTCACATTAGTCATCTGCCGAAGCATATGTTGCTGAAATAGTGAAGCAATTGAGTCAATATTTAAGGCAGCAACATTGTTTGCGGGGGAACGATAAAGGGATTTCCTTAGAAACCTTTCATCAAATATTATCCCCGCCTGAAGCAGATTAGTGAAAAACATAAAATCTGGCGCGTGTTCTGAAAGAATGCGCCGCGGAGGCGCAGAAACCCAGACAAAAACACAACCTCGCCTATGAGCCACGTTGTGTGTAAACGTATGAAATATGTATATATGTAACATAACACAACATAATGTAACAGGAATATTGACGCAAGGGCGTTTATTATGAGCATCCTTGATCGTCGTGAGCGTCCTCGGCTAAACACCGGAGGCACACTTTATGACCATCCTGTGGCGGTAGTGTGCACGCACAACGCACAGGGCTTAAACTGCAACAAACAGAACCACGCCAGTGTTACTAGCAGGAACTGTGAAGCAGCAAACACATAAACACAAGTAAATAGCAAGAATAAACACGCACGGGCGATATTTAAATGCTACAAGCTACAGCCATTTAAATACTAAACATACAATGCAAAGCAGAAAAAGGCTAGCCAAACCTGCGCGGTACATACTAGTGATAGAGTAAAGTTGAGTGATATGTAAACTAACACTATCAAAATTACTCAACAACGACTTACCACAAATTCGCTGAAAAGAAAGAGAATTTAGGCAAGCCTACCATATAATATGCAAACATAATATATGAACTCCCTACTACAAGCTACCAAGAACATATAGCAAGGAAACCACGATCATCGCGGGTCCGCCATTTTGCCTGCCACATGGCTGGAAAACAGAGAACCCACGCAAAGTTACAACAAAAGATGAATGAGAATATCAACATATGAAGTCCATCTAACGCTGTAGGGCATGAGTAAAGAAAGGAACCATACATACAGATTGAGACTCTTTTACACTCATCGACGGGTAGGAGAGCAAACTAAAATGAACACCACGCACGCCTATTCAACAGAACGACAGCATGAAAAGTGAGGTAACGAGGTAGACGGCGCAGAGTTACCTGCTCTTGGCTGTAGGGGTCCGTGGGGGGCCCTGTAGGGTGGTCTCACAAGACAAAAACGAAGTTTTTGTTTTGTAAATATTTTATTAAAAAAATATAGTTACAACTGTCGAGGATTTAAAATGGACATTTAAATGCTTATATGTACCCCAAGGAGGACTTCTTCTGAAAAAGAATACCCAATTTTGCCTTATTCTTCGAGTCCAACTACTACTTCAAGCACTAATATACCATGCATACTCAAGCAACCAGTCAACAAGACTACATAAAACAAAGTACATGATCCCATTTCAGAAAAAAAAAAATTCTATAAATTTGTAGAATGGGTGTACATACCATCAACACATCTCCTCCTCCCAATACCATAGGGATAGCTTCTGCTTGAACATCTGTTGGGAGGCTGTACAAAAGATGACAGAAAGACTTTCTTTGATCAGAAACATTTAAACAATATCACAAAGAATTGCAAAAGCTAAACATCAAGAGGAACAACATTCCCGTACTGTGACGGCAGCCAACACCAACTCCACACAAGGTACTAATGTAGGGAGCAATATTTCACTTCATGAGTGCTATATATTTAACCAGAAGACTGCCCGGTTAACAAACCTGTCTCTTGTCTTGTATCTAAATTGTAGCTATTTGAAACTTAGCCCACACAATGTGTTTGTATCTAACAGTGGTGGACAGGTCCTTTGGTGAGGTGAAATTGGGTTTAACATCGTGCTTTAGAACATTTCGCTCATATGATGATGTGCATGCGTGTGTATGTGTATGTGCGGCCGCTTGTACTAGCCCAGACTGAAGCTGGTTTTATAGTGCTAGCCTACTGAGACACCATGCCGCAGTGAAGCATTAATACCCCATACAGACACATTATACTGACTCCAGGCCGACCAGTCCTTGTTGTGCCCATTAATGCTAAGCGCCAGGCAGGGACCGAAAGGTCCTTTAACATTACATATGGATATATAATCAACATGTCAGCTGCTGTGTTGAGTGAAGCCATCTGGGTGGATCTATTTCAGCATGAGACTTGGGGCTGAGTTTGAAGGCTGTTTTAATGCCAGGTCATATTGGTTTGGTGAAACGTAAATAAAATAAAATATGACAGAATCAAACATTCCTCCACAGCATGGTGACAAACATTAAATTGTATATCTGAATTCCTTGCTTGAATAATGCAAATATCCTCACACACTCATATCTGTTGTAAGTCAATGTGAAACCTCTATAGCATGACATCTAAATCTTGTTACTATAGACACCCCCACTATTTCAATGATTGACATAAGGAACACCCATATAAGAAGGCAAGGACATGACCAGGATTTGTTATAATATTTACTGGGACTTAATCGGTCTGATTAACAAGATTTCATTTTTACAGCACAAAAAAGATCACCTCCAGTCCATCTCTTCAACAGCCTTGCCAATTTCTGGCATCACCCCCATCTCTGAAAAAGACATTGTTAAACATTCAGCAATAATTTTCTTTAATCAACATGATCATACTTAGTGACCATTATCTTTTCATGCAATTATGAAAAAATAACTATACCAATACAATAATATCTTTAAAACAATCTAACTGTAAGAACCATGTCAATCTAATAACACTAACTGGTCTGACAACAACAAAAAAAATCTTCTTTTTGAACTTTTCCAATATGGCAAGAACCCTTTTACTTTCATATCCTACTCGTGAAAAAATCCTCACATTAGTCACAACTAGAAAAACATTTGCTAATATATGCAAAACAACAGTCACATCAATAATTCCTCATGGCTTAACAAATACCACCATGACTTCTTGTCAGAAAACATCCAGTTTAATGGTGGTGTGTGGTCCTGTGCATAGAGCTCAGGTCACAAAGCAGTTGAAGTTGAGCAATGTTGAGCAGGGAGAGTCCTTGGATGAGTGACCATGTTTGGCAGTTTGACTCTTGAGAATTTTGTGGACTTCAGTCCTGCCTCACAACAAACACATGTGGTCTCATCTTAGGCAGGTGAGTTTGCTCAAAGTTGAATCTGTTCACCCAGTAGAAAATGGGTACCCGGGTGGGATAAGTCATGACTATTAACTTTCTTGCACCTCACAGGCAGCTTGGGTTAACTGAGGTAATAATAATCAGATTGTTCGCACTTTGATAGGTGTCAGCAATTTTGTACATAATAATATTACAAAATTATGCTTAAAAAATATGGGAAGTGGGAGGGAGTCATTAAAAAAAATTTATCATCAAACACCCCCCACCCCCCAAGCCATAACTTATGAACAGTCCCTTAGATGATTATCTCTAGGTAACTAGGGTGTGCCAAGATAGTACAATTTTGCTTATTATGGACTATAATATTGACAGGTTTTACTTATATTCAGCACTATTCTATCTATTGGTGGAGGATTGAAGAAATGAGAAGCTGTCTATCATAACAAAGGATATACAGTAAGCGGCATAGTCAAAGTGACGTATGTTTGTTGTTGATTAATGCAAACAAGACTAACACAAAGCTATCACTGACTGACTGACTGAGTTTAGTTTTACGCCGCTTTTAGCAATATTCCAGCAACATCACGGCCTAGGACACCAGAAATGGGCTTCACACATTGTACCCATGTGGGGATTCGAACCCGGGTCTTCGGCGTGACGAGCCAACGCTTTAACCATTAGGCTACCCCACCGCCCACAAAGCTATCAGAGAACATCAGTATTATGCACAGTAACATACTACACAGTGTCCCTTCAGAGACTTCTGGTAATATATGATCAGCTGATAACAAATTTGGACAATAAAATGTGAAATCTAAGATAAATTATCACTAGACATGATTATTTACCATTTGAAATATATTTTCTGTTCTGCTAGTTACAGTTTTATACACAGATATAAAGATTACTGCTGGCATGTTCTTGTAAACTAAGCCGGAAACGAGCAATCAGGTGTATGCACATTTCTTACAAATCTAAGTGTGATTCGATTAAAAATAGCTGAAATATAACTTTTAAGAATGTTGGTGCAATGATGGAATGAAATTATAGATCCCAATATTAACTTACTTTAGTTGCAGCTATTACTAAACATATATATATAAAATAATAGCACTTTGGAAAAGATGAATGCTATTACCAAAGATTTTTATGCATGGAACAGTTTGATCAGTAACCATTGAGGTCTCGCACGTCTGGAAAATGAATGAAAACAAAATGCAAATATCATAACATCCAACAATGTCATAAGTATAATATCAGGTGGTTACCTTATTCAATGAATATATCCATCTACATCCACACAGAAACAATATCCCATACATCTAAAGCTGTACAGAGAAAATTGTTCAATGTCACTTGTCTTTGTAAAGATATGTTTAAAAATATCTAGAGTATTTCGGGATGTTATAACCTATTTTCATCTCTCAATTGATTGTTTCAGCAGTTTCACATTGGTGTCATGTCTGATTGTTAGCTGAGTTAGCACACATGACATGATATCCATGGTATTTTAACAAATTCAACAATGATCAACATATTATTTGCAAATCATTTGAATAAAGTAAGTTGCTTTTACACAGGCGGCTAGATGTGAAAGTATTTCCATCTGCTTTAGTAATCCTACATATATAAACCTGTTGACAAATTTACTGAGAGATAACCGATTAATCAATCACTATTGGTTAATCCTTTAACTGATGTCTTTTGCAACTCAACGAGTGATTCCTCCATTTCAGTGAGGCTCTCCATTGCACATCTCAAACCAGGGAGACTATATAAGGGGGAGTGGTCATTAGCATATGCCTCGGCTCGTCACTTGACCTGTGTAGCCAATATGGCGACAGCATTGTTTTTAAGATTGAGCCCGGTTTATTTTCAACAGCTGATTACATACGCTGAGTGTTGTGACAACTGAAAACCTACATGTAGAAGATAAGTTACCTATTCTGTCACTTCATTTTAAGTCAAATAATTGTTATTAGTGTCAGTAGAGATTTGTAGTAAAGTTTCAAGTCGGCATGTTGTAGCTCACTGGCTTCAATTCTCAGTACACAGCGAAGAAAGACTAAATTATATCGCTAAAAACTTCTTTCACATATTCGTTTAATTTTTAGAAGGGAAATATACCTTTAGTTGAAAGGTGTTTGCAAGTAATAGTGATAGTTTTATAACTAAAACAAAATTGTTAGGGTGTATTTGAGGTGTGTGAAAAATATGACATATCGACGATCTGCCATTGAAATACTACAGGGCGTTGTTTGAGTGTTTCTAGTTATTGTTCTAAAACATCTTTCACATACACCTTCAATTTTTATGAGGGGAATATACCATCAGGTGAAAGGTGTTTGCAAGTAAAAGTGATAGTTTTATAATTTAATTTTTTTTGTTAGGGTGTATTTGAGGTGTGTGAAAAATATGACATATCGACGATCTGTTCTGATACGCCATTGATGCTTGTGATGCTTGAGTGTTATAGTTCTAAAACTTCTTTCTTTCTTGTTGGTCTTAGTATGTGACAAAACTGGAAAGGTGTTTACAACGCTTTTTGATAGTTCTAAACTTTCTGTTTTTGAGGGGTCTGTGACAGTGTCAGTTAACATTCTGTCAATGCCCATGCCATTCCACACATGCAATAAGATATCTGAATTAGTTACTAATGTAAAGAAATGTCTCAAAGTAGATTTTTTAAAAAAAGGACAGTAGATGTTAACACATGTGTTCTACCGATAGTTTTGCATTCTTTTTGGCCGTGGTGTATCATTTATTCTTTCTTTCATTCACATATGTATTTCTTTCTTTTGTTCTTTTTCTTTATTTCTTTCATTCATTCACATATAATTCTTGCTCTGAATTAATTCATTCATTCATTGTAAAATTCCCGACTGATACAATACACTGGCTGAAGTACTGTTAAACGCAGCCGAAGTTGTGCTGGGAACGAACCAAGTCACTGTGTGCGTTGGAGCATGACGAGGCACACGTTAATTAGTACAAATGGTAAAGAAAGCAAGCAAGTGACCTATCCCTGTTGTAGAGTATCCCTGCTCAAACTCAGTTTGTTGAGTGACTGAAGCCAATTAGCATCTGGTGATTTCATGGGCTAATTAAAATGGTGTCATCTGGATGACTAAAAGTAGGAGTTTCGTTTTCTTTCAAATGTTTTCCTTAAAGATCACATATACTCTAGGGGGGGTACAAATACATAAATCACTAACTGGCATCGCTATAAATGAAACCCCGTCATTAAAACTACTCATTTCGATCTTTAATTAACTTAAATCGACCTTTTTGACATCAGTGCACAATTCTCACCCGCGAACGAAATTTCAACCAATCAGAGCGGGGCGTCTCTGTGACGTCATATGAGGAATAGATATGAGGGCCGATGCAGAATTCATCTACATTTCAGGGGGTAAATTATCTTGTTTACAGGTTTGTATAAACCTGAAATCATGACAACTGTTGTGAAAAATGAAAGCTATATGTTCTCACAATCTACTGTCATTTAATTTTGTCTCCTGCTTTGCCTAGTTTCCGAGTTACAACTTGTTTTCATAGACGATTCTGTCAAAATTGCTTGGTGTCGTTAGGCCTTATTTGCATAATGACTGATCCAAATTGATCCCATTTCTGTGTTTTTTTACCTCGATATTTAATCATGTCATGTAAAAATCTGTTTGTGTTCTCAAAACAGTGTCGGCCCATAGGTTTTCACATCCAATACAGCAATTAATACTCCCTTGTTGTAACCCGTGTTAGGTGGTATAAACCTACACGTTATTTGTCATCATTCACTTGATGGTCAGCTAATGAAAATATAACAGGTATAATTAGTGGTAACACATTACCCGACAAAGGTTGCCATTTGGCATTTCTTGTGTCTGGAGTAAATATTCAACATTATAAACATCGATCAAAGGACTAACCGATAACACGCTGATTGATTAATTACTTTTATCTTACACAGCGGTTTTGTCAAAAGGTAGTGTTTAAGTATGTAGATTTACTAATCTATACTGAATACACTCTGTCGTGTCGGTGTCTGCGTAAAAACAACGTCTTTCTTTCAAAGGATTAACCGGCAATAGATTGATTGATTGCCCATTATTGGCTAACTAAATTACAGTTTTTAAAGAAAGGCGGACATTATGCAATTAGTTGCCAGGTGTGCTATCTTGGGTGACCTATGAGACTATACACCAATGTGAAATACCTGAAAAGATTTATCACTTTTTCGTATATTAAACTGTTAAAAGACACATCACTTGGAACAGCTGCAGATGCATAGCATATCACTCGTTTTTGTGGATATTGATGGATACATTCCTCGAACAAGGTAACAGTCTGACATTGTTCCTATAACTTTGATCTGTTTTAATTGTAATATTTGCATTTTGTTTTTATTCATTTGTCGTAGCATTCAACAGAATCATTGTTTTCGCCGTAAAGTGTAATGAGAGAGACAACATACACTAGGGTGTGTGTGCGAATTATGATTCACATTGGAAAACTATAAAATGTCTAGATATTACAGTTCTGTTATAAATTCACTATAAGTATCAGCAGATCGTCTGCTTTTTATTTAGTTTCAAAATGCATACAAGTATGATAATAAACTAATTAGGATTATAAGACCAAATATAAAGACGTACATTGACTAGTATCTACATACTGGTGAGTGGACGTTAAACCATGTGAATGTAGCAAGAAATTTGTCACAGTATTGTCACTTCGACATCCACCTCACTTCCGTGGAAGAAATCATTATGTTACAAGTTGTGTCATGCAAAATCCTTTTGGTTATGACTCCAATACATGTTTAACTACGAGTAGAAAGTAGTTTTGATTTTCTAACTTGATGAAAACAAACCATAATCTCATTAATTCTAACAGACTTTAGCCCGTCACTTTACGATTTTCAAAACTGGCGGCGCCCTGTCGCGAACATCCACCAGTCTGAGGATAAATGCTATTTAGGTTTGTTTTCACCGAGTTACAAAATCAAAAGTACTTTCTACTGGTAGTAAAATATGTATTTGATTGATGGCCAATAGGATTTTGCATGACATAGCTTATAACATAACAATTTCTCTCATGGAAGCGAGGTGGGTGTCAATATAATACCACTTACAATATTATTGTTACTTCGACCACAACCTCGCTTCCCGAGGAAGATATCGTTATGTTACAAGTTGTGTCATGGAAAATCTTTATGGTTATCAATCATATACATATTTTACTACAACTAGTAAGTAGTTTTGATTCTTTAACTTCCGCGGAAGCTTTATCTGAACACAAGTAAGATATCGCTTCATGCTTCCACAACGCGCTTCGCGACTCACAAACATAACCCATTTAGCATGAACTGTGGGGTCCTGTGGAAATCTGTGCATGGTGACACCATCGCCGACCCATAGGAGCAATTGACGACAAAGCAACGATTCGGCATGTCATCGTTGATGTCGAGAAATCATCAAAATGATGAGCGTGCTACACACTTTCTATACAACTAACTGAAAATCGTTCCTCATATGACGTCACTGCAGTGCTCTGGCGACAGAGTTACGTAACCTGTCTGTGGTTTCGTTGGCGGGCGAGAGTGAAGCTGGCGACTTTTTGGCAACTTTTAATCGCTCAGTATTAATTAACCACAAGTTTTTTAACAATGAATTTGGTGTTCCGCATAAGTCTAACCACAAATCTTTCATATGTAATAGTTAAAAGAGTACAAAAAAACAAAGTTTATTTGTTCTTTAAATATTTAGATTTGTTTTCATTTCAATGAATTCGTTCATATTTAAAGCACATGAGAGCTGACACAGCATTTCCAGACATAAACGTCAGTCCCTATAAACTAAGTCCACTCAACATGCAGATGCTCATATTTACTTGTCACAGGTAACTCAGACAGGTCACATTGTCAGTTTAATGTAGTCTTTAAGGGGTAGCGCAAGTTAGAATCAAAATCAAATATTATTAAGTTGGCAAGTCAGACGGGAATCGATGCCAAAGTATAATGTCAACCCAGTTAAGAATGACTGCAGCAAAGATCGTTTAAACTCGCCATAGATATTAAACTCGCATTAAAGAAAACATTCGATAACTGACGAAATACCACCAGAAACCAAACATTGTATCAAAATACGCATGCTTGCCTTCGAAAGCAGTCATCTTGCCAAGTCAGCAAAGCTAGTACTTATTCGTAGAGTGCGTAACAGTGCGTGTATTTCCATTTTGTATTAGAAATGTTAGTAATTTCATGAATTTGTGTTAAATAAACTGTAATTATTGTCCACGCATATGATACTGGAAGTGCACACATATTTGGATGTTTATTTCTCCCGAACGTAAATACGCAAATGAGTTTAGCTGACTACACCTATCATGGCGGACAAAACTGAGATCTGAGAAAACGGGTACCTGTCTATTTGATCTAATATCCATAACTGTACAGTGTTTGGAGCCTGAACTTCTGCCATTAGCATGAATGGACTATCGCAAGCTCCTGGGACCTTCTGGGTAAGAAGGATAGTTTTGGATGATGCTGTACACACTTAAATAAGGGTAAATGTTATGTAAGTTTGAGATCAAATCATAAAGGGAGATAACCGCCGTGACCTCGACTTCACGTATGTAAGTCATTGTGTAAGCAATTTGCAAGGCGTAGCATGAACTGATACTCACCGGAAAAACATACCTTGTAGTTTATGTGTAGCAGGGTAAGGGGTGGTACTGTTTCAAAGAAGACCAACGCCTGCTGGTGTGTGAGCTGTGACTTATGCCACAATTTATTGAGCTCAGATATATATTTTGTTTTCACCTAGTAACATAATAATAATCAATAAAACAGTCATATCACATCTGTACTAATATAGTAGATTACACATAAAAGTTACAATTACTGATAATGGTCATATATGCTTATCACAATATATATTCATTGTAATACCTGTAACTTAAACTGTATCAATTCTAAGAAAGTAATAAACATAAGTAATAAACACATGCAGTTCATAAATAGGTATTATATAGATTAATTGTAGCAGCAAAATATCACAATTATAATCATGATAGAAAATACATAATTCTCCACACATATTTGTGGCAATAATATAAACACATTAAAAGGATAAAATACCTACCAAATATATGGTACTTAGGTGATGGTATCGTCTACCTTACATTATGTCCAAACAGCATGTCCCATCTATAAGTAATATAACACACCATTAAGTATATTATGCTAACCTATTCTTAGATCATAATGAAACATATATCACTCTATAAAACAAACCTACGTCATAAATATATACATATACCCTACAGCACAACATTATCTGTACTGTGATATTCTTATAAATATACACAATAAACAGTTATTAAAATACTATGGTATCTCAAGTGGCACAGACATTACAGGTATTATCAAGTAGACAACATGGCCGACAAAGATGGCTGCTGAGTAGGCACACATGCTTGTGTGTCACCTGACCGCATAAATGTTACGATATTACTAATAAACTTATGATGGTAATGCTGATGCAGTAAACATGACACTAACTGAGTTTAGTTTTACGCCGCTTTTAGCAATATTCCAGCAATATCATGGCGGGGGACTCCAGAAATAGGCTTCACACATTGTGCCCATGTGGGGAATCGAACCCGGGTCTTCGGCATGACGAGCGAACGCTTTAACCACTAGGCTACCCCACAGCCCCCAGTAAACATGAAAATCATGCCTCTATACACACAATATTCAACTTATTCTTAATACACATTCATACCTTCACATCACACAATATTATAACCTAAGCAAGAATGATGTTTATAATATAACTATACTTAACAAATATTATATCCTACATGATATGTTTATAATTATGTTAACTAACCTTGAACAGAATGTGGTTGTAGCCCCAAAAGAGGAGAAATGAGATGTCCTCAAAAATATCATCATATGTTTCAGGTGCCTCTCTTGTGCAGCTGTATGTGGTAGACTAATTAAAATGTGCTGATGTTAGTAAAGAAGAAAACATACAACATTAAACTGACCAAACAGAGATCAAGGAATAGCTTGCCCTCTGAGTTAAGAACAAAAGAACACCCTGCTCTCCCACAATAAAACAATAGAACCAAGGTCCAGCTTGGGGTAATCAAGCTGGGGACAAATACCAACATACTCAAATAAAAACCTAATCCAATAAAACTACCACAACCAAACTGTTTAAAGATGATACCATATTTACACAAATAAAATACAATGTAAAATATGACACTGCCACTTATGTCTTTAGTAAGTGGCATTTTTAATACCAGTATACTTAAGATGCATTTACTTATCTTGTAATCAGTGTTTGCAGTACTTTAATTTGCCAGTTGACCACAAGGGCCTGCTGCTGCCTCCAGGCTTTAAAATCTACAGGCCCAGAATGAAATTTGCAGGCCCATTTTGTTAAAGTCAGACCAATATAAACAAAATAGACTACACTGCACACAGTTTCACACTGTTTAATTCTGTCATTTTAACCAGTACACCACTGGAAGTGTGGAATGACATCAAATTCCTGTTGAAAAAAATATATTGACAGATAACTTACTGAAGGCCACAAGGGCTTGCAAATATTTGAAACTGCCGGTCCAATACAATAACAACTGGCCCTGGGCCTCGGGGCCGGTAATTATAATGAACACTGCTTGTAATATTCTAGATCTCCTCATATTATCTCACTAAAGCATCTGGGGTGGTGGGGTAGCCTAATGGTTAAAGCGTTGGCTCGTCACGCCGAAGACCCGAGTTCGAATCCCCACATGGGCACAATGTGTGAAGCCCATTTCTGGTGTCCCCCGCCGTGATGTTGCTGGAATTTTGCTGAAAGCGGCGTAAAACCAAACTCTGTCAGTCACTAAAGCATCTCAAGAACAAGTTATGAAAGTAAAGAAGAACACTGTTCAGATGCCAAGTTTGTGAAATGAGTTGATAATATATAGACTATGATGTTTTGGGGGTCTGTTTGGTTTTTAGTTGTTGCTTTGGGTTGTTTTTTTTCTCTTGGTGTGGGAGTGAAATCGCTTGGAATTGATATGGGTTTCCTTTATGTCAGAATAACTGATCTGGCATATTATATATAGACTGACAGACAGACAGACAGACAGATATAGGAATCAGTATTGGAAACAGACAGACGTCGTGTACCGATCCATCAAATTTCTGATTTTAGAGTAGTAAAATGCATTTGACGGATCGGCACTGTGATCTTAGCTATAAGTTAGTTATCAAAACACTGGATCATACCAAAATAAAGACGCAAGGGGTGTTGGATGGTTTGACTCTCTATATTTTTGTACTTTTGTACAGTATATATCTTTGCCTACTCATGTGATACAATAAGAAATTGATGCATCAAATATATGTTTGGACTCTTTATATTTTTTTACTTTTGTACAAAATTGAAATTGATGCATTAAATAAAAAGCATTCATAAGGACTGACTGACTGAGTTTGAATTTACACCGCTTTTAGCAATATTCCAGCAATACCACGGCGGGGGACACCAGACAGACTGACTGAATTGCTGTTTTACGCCGCTTTTAGCAATATTCCAGCTACATCATGGCGGGGGACACCATAAATGGGCTTCACTCATTGTACCTATGTGGGGATTTGAACCCGGGTCTTCGACGTGACGAGCCAACGCTTTAACCACTAGACTACCCCACCGCCCCCATTCATAAGGAGAAATATATAGTTTGTGATGTTCAAACTTCTCGAGTAGTAATTTAGACTTGGCACATAAACCTGGGAGTATAATAATGTAAGGTATACAAAGTCGCATGGTAGGGATTAAACTTAGGTCTCTCTAATCTCAAATAGCTTTGTTATAAAAATTGCTTAACACAAGGTAAGTTTTTCATTTTGGTTGGCTAGTGGTCCTACAAACTTAACCCAAAAAAACCAGTGCTTTGCATAATATTCTGGAAGATACTTTTGTCTGCTCTCCTCATACCTAGGACCTACAAGGAGGACATGGAACTCGTCTTCATCTGTGTTTCTACAGAACGGGCAGAGCTGATGCATCAGGGTCAGGGTTTTTAGCCTGCCAGGAAATTTGAATACAGAAATTATGAGCACCACATCTGAACTTTGATAGTGCTCTACGGAGCTTACCTATATCCTGTGCAAGCCACGTCCATCCAAAGCCATAACAAAATAGTAATTTGCCTAACATATGATACCCAGTTCGATGTCAGCAATCAGAAAGTCTTCACCGGAATCTGTTCTTGTTCATTTAAAAAACATGTAGTCTAATCCAATACAAGCCAACCCCTTAATTAATGAACTTAGACTCTCCCAGTGTGTTAACACGGTCTGAGATTCGACTGATTAGCACAGAACCACTCAAGCATGATTCAACAGATTGGCACTGCTGGCTGTTCAAAATTCAACAGATTAGGCCATAATCCAAACAGAAAGGTTAGTATTTTTCTGATAGGTGTCCCGTCTGAAAGGCAAGTGCCAATAAGCAGACACAAGTCATCTTCATCTTACTCTTTTATATGTACACATGGTTCAGCCAGCCTTCCAGAATTGTTGTGTAGCCATGTTAACAATTGTATCAAGCTCACAACCAAGGTCAATCTTTATATGAGCGCTTCAGTCCTTTTGCCACAGACTACCACAAGAAATACAACTGCTGCATACACTTCCAGTTACCCATGTTAACAGTATAATAACACTAAAGAATGTTTTAGATATTCACTGGTCTGTTTTGACAAACAGGGGATCTTATCAGCCATTTAGACTGAAGGTTTTCAATATTACTGTGAAACCACTAAATGACGGTTCTTTCTGTCAAGTGTATGGTGGAATATCTTACAGGTTAGCATATCAGATGATTTCAAATATTATCATGCTCCATCATGGCAACAGTCACATTTTTCATGTTGCAAGTTGTTAAGTATGAAACAATACTGAAGTGTGGAAACAAATTTTTTTAAAGGTACAGGGCTACAGCCACATGAGTAGAAAGAAGATATAATGGCACAGTCAAAATATTAATAGAGTAAATGTCATTGTTATTTGTTTATTATCTGTTAATGCTGCAGTGAAAAATACTTCCGATATGTCATGGCAGTCAGTAAATATTTAATCTGCACTATGTCAGGTAAAAGAGATCCTTTGTTTATGTTTTGATGATAGCATATCCTTTGTATTCATCAATTTCATCAACATAAAATTTCAGTGCTGTGGATGTTGTTGGAATATAAACCAGAGTGATCCTCTTGTGGTCATATATTACATTGTCCTTCAATTATATTTGGGTTATGTCTAGCTGCCAGTTAGACCATTCATCATCAGGAGCCTAGTAAGTCACTGTACATGTTTTACGTGTTTACAGTGAGTTGGTAACATTTATTTCTTACATTTGATTAGCAGACATATGCATGATATATGTATATAGATACCTAATCATGTTCATTTATATGTTGTTGCATGCATTAGAGGTATTAGTTTATCATTTGTTATACATCACTACTACCATTTGCTCTCTAACTCCTGATATGTTTAATGATTTCAGAAACAGCTTGGCCAGGCAGTATTTGTATGTACTGGAGGAACTTTGACTTTCTTCGGTATATCACTTTACAAAGGCAATGAGAAGTTTTATCGTGAGATGGCTATGCCGGCACTGCAGTGGCTTGGAGCAGAGAGAGCACACAACTTAGCTGTCTTGGCTGCCAAGTACAAGATGGTCCCAATACCTACACTTGCAGATTCACCTAGTCTGGTACGCTATAGAGACCAACCAGCTGAGACTGGCATTATAATATGTAATGCTGCATTGTATTTCTGTCAACATGACACCAGCAATGAACATGCACATGGTCATATATGATAGTCATTGCTCTTATTCTGCAACACTAATCAGTAATGTACAGAAGATGGCATGGTTTAATAGCAAGGCAAATTTCTTTGTAATCATGATGATGTTGAGATAAAATATTACAGGTACATACCCTGCTTCTTCAAAATACTTCCTAATCTCTTATCTGTTAAGAGAGTGAAAAGCAGATGCAGGTTTTACCATGTCACCAGCCTGCATAATAACAGTGTAAGACGCTGTGCTATTATTATCAGGATAGGTAGTTAATAAATTTCATTCATCAATTATTTTTGAAATATTGTGTTGGCAGAAAACACGGGTTTGGGGCCTAGAGTTCAGCAACCCAGTTGGCCTTGCTGCAGGATTTGACAAAAATGGAGAGGCAGTGGACGGCCTCCTGAAGGTTGGATTCGGTTTCGTTGAGATCGGCAGCATCACACCAGCACCACAGCCCGGCAATCCCAAACCACGAGTCTTCAGGCTGAAAAAAGATAAAGCTGTCATCAACAGGTGAGCAGCCTCAGCAGCCATCTTGATACAAGTGCAGATTTTAGCAGCAAACTGCAACAATTACAAATGTCTATTTTTAGTTTACCAAAACCCAAGATTCATGTGATTAGAATGTTGGTGGTCATTATTAATTGGTTGTTCTTTTCTTTTTACTTTTTTATAATGATGATTGAACCCCCAAAGAACGAGATATAAGTATGCTCACATCTTTTCCCAACAGTTAGTTATGTATCAGCTTGTTTCCAGGTTACTTTCCATTACCAGACTCCTATAGCATTGTGGAGGACATGTTTAAAAGAACCATCACAAAGAAATGGTAACATCAATGTTGCTGTAGGCTGTACAAACTAATGAATAATATTTACACAATCTGGTATTTAGTGAGAATGTTATTTGTTTTAAAACATATGCATTTCCAGTACTTGTGCTCATGCTCCCCATTAAATCATCACTCAGGATTTTCAACATTTCCTTTGAAATCACAGCCATTTTAGTCAGCATAGTTTTTGTTCTCAATATCCTCTGAACTCTGCAGCTGAAGCTGCAGATACTCTAAATACTGCTGTAAGATTATCCACGACACAATGTCAGTGTGCAGTTAGCATGGTTAGAGTGATGTCTTGACTGGGAGGTAGAAATATATTTTACTCAGCCTACAAAAAATGTGTTTGACATGAATTAAATTAACCAAATATATTTCACATGAATGATTAAAAAAGGTAGTCTACCGGTGTACCTATACTTTTGGACAGATTTCATGGTAATGTCTGTATGTTATCTGCAAAGAATCTTACAATATCAGATGTTATATCTCCGTTAACATAGATACGGTTTCAACAGCGATGGTCATGAATCTGTTTACCAACGGTTGCATCCAAGGGAGACCCCTTCATCAGGTACGAAGTAGTTGAAAACTATACACAACAGGCTACCATTTACTGTCAATACTACCATCTACTCTCATAACTACCATTTACTGTCAATACTACCATCTACTCCCATAACTACCATTTACTGTCAATACTACCATCTACTCCCATATCTACCATTTACTGTCAATACTGCCATCTACTCCCATGACTACCATGTACTGTCAATACTACCATCTACTTCCATGACTACCATTTACTGTCAATACTACCATCTACTCCCATGACTACCATTTACTGTCAATACTACCATCTACTCCCATAACTACCATTTACTGTCAATACTACCATCTACTCCCATGACTACCATTTACTGTCAATACTACCATCTACTTCCATGACTGCCATTTACTGTCAATACTATCATCTACTCCCATAACTACCATTTACTGTCAATACTACCATCTACTTCCATAACTACCATTTACTGTCAATACTACCATCTACTCCCATATCTACCATTTACTGTCAATACTGCCATCTACTCCCATGACTACCATTTACTGTCAATACTACCATCTACTCCCATAACTACCATTTACTGTCAATACTACCATCTACTCCCATATCTACCATTTACTGTCAATACTACCATCTACTCCCATGACTACCATTTACTGTCAATACTACCATCTACTCCCATAACTACCATTTACTGTCAATACTGCCATCTACTCCCATATCTACCATTTACTGTCAATACTACCATCTACTCCCATAACTACCATTTACTGTCAATACTGCCATCTACTCCCATATCTACCATTTACTGTCAATACTGCCATCTACTCCCCATATCTACCATTTACTGTCAATTACTACCATCTACTCCCATAACTACCATTTACTGTCAATACTACCATCTACTCCCATAACTACCATTTACTGTCAATACTACCATCTACTCCCATATCTACCATTTACTGTCAATACTGCCACCTACTCCCATAACTACCATTTACTGTCAATACTACCATCTACTCCCATATCTACCATTTACTGTCAATACTACCATCTACTCCCATATCTACCATTTACTGTCAATACTACCATCTACTCCCATAACTACCATTTACTGTCAATACTACCATCTACTCCCATATCTACCATTTACTGTCAATACTGCCATCTACTCCCATATCTACCATTTACTGTCAATACTACCATCTACTCCCATGACTACCATTTACTGTCAATACTACCATCAATCTCCCATAACTACCATTTCTGTCAATACTGCCATCTACTCCCCATATCACCATTTACTGTCAATACTACCATCTACTCCCATAACTACCATTTACTGTCAATACTACCATCTACCATATCTACCATTTACTGTCAATACTACCATCTACTCCCCATGACTACCATTTACTGTCAATACTACCATCTACTCCCATAACTACCATTTACTGTCAATACTACCATCTACTCCCATGACTACCATTTACTGTCAATACTACCATCTACTCCCATAACTACCATTTACTGTCAATACTACCATCTACTCCTATGACTACCATTTACTGTCACCATTTACCACTCCCAATACCTACCATCTCACTACCCCATCTACTCCACATGACTTCCATTTACTGTCACCACTACCATTTCTATCCATACTCCCATAACTACCATTTACTGTCAATACTACCATCTACTCCATATCTACCATTTACTGTCAATACTACCATCTACTCCCATGACTATTTACCATTTACCATCCATCCCATACTACCATTTACCATCTACTCCATAACTTATCCATACGCCTACCATCTACTCCATATCTACCATTTACTGTCAATACTACCATCTACTCCCCATATCTACCATTTACTGTCAATACTACATCTACTCCCATGATTACCATTTACTGTCCATATTACTACCATCTACTCCTATACCTACCATTTACTGTCAATACTACCATCTACTCCCATGACTACCTATTTACTGTCAATACTACCATCTACTTCCATGACTACCATTTACTGTCAATACTACCATCTACTCCCATAACTACCATTTACTGTCAATACTACCATCTACTCCTATCCAATGCATCTACCATTTACTGTCAATACTACCATCTACTCCCCATGACTACCATTTACTGTCAATACTACCATCTACTCATTTACTGTCCACTACCTTTCATGACTTCCCATAACTACCATTTACTGTCAATACTACCATCTACTCCCATGACTACCATGTACTGTCAATACTACCATCTATCTCCATATCTACCATTTACTGTCAATACTACCATCTACTCCCATAACTACCATTTACTGTCAATACTACCATCTACTCCCATGACTACCATGTACTGTCAATACTACCATCTACTTCCATGACTGCCATTTACTGTCAATACTACCATCTACTCCCATGACTACCATTTACTGTCAATACTACCATCTACTTCCATGACTGCCATTTACTGTCAATACTACCATCTACTCCCATAACTACCATTTACTGTCAATACTACCATCTACTCCCATAACTACCATTTACTGTCAATACTACCATCTACTCCCATATCTACGATTTACTGTCAATACTACCATCTACTCCCATGACTACCATGTACTGTCAATACTACCATCTACTTCCATGACTGCCATTTACTGTCAATACTACCATCTACTCCCATGACTACCATTTACTGTCAATACTACCATCTACTTCCATGACTGCCATTTACTGTCAATACTGCCATCTACTCCCATGACTACCATGTACTGTCAATACTACCATCTACTTGTCGTAAGAGGCCATAGCGGGATCAGTTGGTGCCATGACTTACTGACCATGTCATCGGTTCCCAATTGCGCAGATCGATGCTCATGCTGTTGATCACTGGATTGTCTGGTCCAGACTCGATTATTTACAGACCGCCGCCATATAGCTGGAATATTGCTGAGTGCGGCGCAAAACTAAACTCACTCACTCACTCACTTCCATGACTGCCATTTACTGTCAATACTACCATCTACTCCCATGACTACCATTTACTGTCAATACTACCATCTACTTCCATGACTGCCATTTACTGTCAATACTACCATCTACTCCCATAAATACCATTTACTGTCAGTACTACCATCTAGTCTGATGACTACCATTTACTGTCAGTACTACCATCTACTCCCATAACTACCATTTACTGTCAGTACTACTATCTACTCCCATGACTACCATTTACTGTCAGTACTACCATCTACTCCCATAACTACCATTTACTGTCAGTACTACTATCTACTCCCATAAATACCATTTACTGTCAGTACTACCATCTAGTCTGATGACTGCCATTTACTGTCAGTACTACCATCTACTCCCATAAATACCATTTACTGTCAGTACTACCATCTACTCCCATAACTACCATTTACTGTCAGTACTACCATCTAGTCTGATGACTACCATTTACTGTCAATACTACCATCTACTCCCATGACTACCATTTACTGTCAATACTACCATCTACTCCCATAACTACCATTTACTGTCAATACTACCATCTACTCCCATAACTACCATTTACTGTCAATACTGCCATCTACTCCCATGACTACCATTTACTGTCAATACTACCATCTACTCCCATAACTACCATTTACTGTCAATACTATCATCTACTCCCATTACTACCATTTACTGTCAATACTATCATCTACTCCCATAACTACCATTTACTGTCAGTACTACTATCTACTCCCATGACTACCATTTACTGTCAATACTACCATCTACTCCCATAACTACCATTTACTGTCAATACTATCATCTACTCCCATAACTACCATTTACTGTCAGTACTACTATCTACTCCCATAACTACCATTTACTGTCAATACTATCATCTACTCCCATAACTACCATTTACTGTCAGTACTACTATCTACTCCCATAACTACCATTTACTGTCAATACTGCCATCTACTCCCATGACTACCATGTACTGTCAATACTACCATCTACTCCCATAACTACCATTTATTGTCAATACTACCATCTAGTCTCATGACTACCATTTACTTTCAATACTACCATCTGCTTTCATGACTACCATTTGCTGTCAATACTACCATCTAGTCTGATGACTACCATTTACTGTCAATACTACCATCGAGTCTCATGACTACCAGTTACTGTTAATACTGCCATCTACTCCCATGACTACCATTTACTGTCAATACTACCATCTAGTCTGATGACTACCATTTACTGTCAATACTACCATCTACTCGCATGACTACCATTTGCTGTCAATACTACCATCTACTCCCATTACTACCATTTACTGTCAATACTACCATCTACTCTCGTGACTACCAGTTACTGTCAATACTACCATCTACTCCCATGACTACCATTTACTGTCAATACTACCATCTACTCCCACAACTACCATTTACTGTCAATACTGCCATCTACTCTCGTGACTATCATCTACTCTCATGTTCACTCTGTCAGCCACTAGGACATAGTTTGAATACCATCTACTGTCATTCACTGATCTGCTGATACTATTGCTTCCCACTGATGATCTACTCAGACCTCACATTTCTGTATGTTATAGAGCCATGTTCACTGCCTCGAATGAGTGAGCAAAGAAATATGTTGAATATAAATCTGTGGACTGACACATCCTGTGCACACCATGCTGACAACAATAAGAATAATGTCAAGCATAAAGGTATAGAGCTCTGACTGAAATGCTGTATTCATTAATCAACAGTGAATGTTTCAAGGCAGGATTCAGTTGTAGAAAAACATGTTCTTAAGGTTTTGTCAGAAAGTTAATGTCTGTAGACCGCAATAAGATCTCGATATGTTGTTATTGTGATACAATAAGTCATGTCAAAATAGCAATATTGAGGTCTTGATGTTAATATGCTGCCTAGCATAACAAGTATAGAAACCATTAACCCAGTACTTTGCATCATTCTCTTCAGCTGCTCTTTAAATAGTCAAGTACATGTCATCATATCATTTCTTTCTTTATGAAGGTGTGCTTGGTGTGAACCTTGGCAAGAACAAGACATCAACAGATCCTGGGAAGGACTATGTGGCAGGTGTTAAGAAGTTTGGCCATGTGGCTGATTACCTGGTCATCAACGTGTCCAGTCCCAACACACCTGGACTACGCAGTCTGCAGGGTCGGCAGCAGCTGGAAGATCTCCTAGAAAAGGTACATTGACATTCATGGAGAGACAAATATTTAGTCCAGTGTAAACAGGATAAGGGAGATTATGGCAGGAGTTATGTCCCTTGGTGGCATATGAAGACAATAAAACAAAAACAGCAGTTTTGTCAAATATTACAATAGTCTGGCAACTGGATCTGTGGTGTTCACACATATAGTCAAAGAAGAAGTAACTGAACCAGAAGTATACAGCATTGATTTATTGTCACTGAACCAGAGGTATACAGCATTGATTTATTGTAACTGAACCAGAGGTATACAGCATTGATTTATTGTCACTGAACCAGAAGTATACAGCATTGATTTATTGTCACTGAACCAGAAGTATACAGCATTGATTTATTGTCACTGAACCAGAGGTATACAGCATTGATTTATTGTAACTGAACCAGAGGTATACACTGTTGTCAATGTGGTAATTGTCTTTTCCCAGTGACTGAACTAGAAGTATACACTGTTGTAAATGTTGTGCTTGTCTTTTCCCAGTGACTGAGCTAGAAGTATACAATGTTGTAAATGTTGTACTTGTCTTTTCCCTGTGACTGAACTAGAAGTATACACTGTTGTAAATGTTGTACTTGTCTTTTCCCAGTGACTGAACTAGAAGTAAACACTATTGTAAATGTTGTACTTGTCTTTTCCCAGTGACTGAACTAAAAGTATACACTGTTGTAAATGTTGTACTTGTCTTTTCCCAGTGACTGAACTAGAAGTATACACTGTTGTAAATGTGGTACTTGTCTTTTCCCAGTGACTGAACTAGAAGTATACACTGTTGTAAATGTTGTGCTTGTGTTTTCCCAGTGACTGAACTAGAAGTATACACTGTTGTAAATGTGGTAATTGTCTTTTCCCAGTGACTGAACTAGAAGTATACACTGTTGTAAATATTGTACTTGTCTTTTCCCAGTGACTGAGCTAGAAGTATACACTGTTGTAAATGTTGTACTTGTCTTTTCCCAGTGACTGAACTAAAAGTATACACTGTTGTAAATGTTGTGCTTGTCTTTTCCCAGTGACTGAGCTAGAAGTATACAATGTTGTAAATGTTGTACTTGTCTTTTCCCTGTGACTGAACTAGAAGTATACACTGTTGTAAATGTTGTACTTGTCTTTTCCCAGTGACTGAACTAGAAGTAAACACTATTGTAAATGTTGTACTTGTCTTTTCCCAGTGACTGAACTAAAAGTATACACTATTGTAAATGTTGTACTTGTCTTTTCCCAGTGACTGAACTAGAAGTATACACTGTTGTAAATGTGGTACTTGTCTTTTCCCAGTGACTGAACTAGAAGTATACACTGTTGTAAATGTTGTGCTTGTCTTTTCCCAGTGACTGAACTAAAAGTATACACTGTTGTAAATGTTGTACTTGTCTTTTCCCAGTGACTGAACTAGAAGTATACACTGTTGTAAATGTTGTACTTGTCTTTTCCCTGTGACTGAACTAGAAGTATACACTGTTGTAAATGTTGTACTTGTCTTTTCCCAGTGACTGAACTAAAAGTATGCACTGTTGTAAATGTTGTGCTTGTCTTTTCCCAGTGACTGAACTAGAAGTATACACTGTTGTAAATATTGTGCTTGTCTTTTCCCAGTGACTGAGCTAGAAGTATACACTGTTGTAAATGTGGTACTTGTCTTTTCCCAGTGACTGAACTAAAAGTATACACTGTTGTAAATGTTGTGCTTGTCTTTTCCCAGTGACTGAACTAAAAGTATACACTGTTGTAAATGTTGTGCTTGTCTTTTCCCAGTGACTGAACTAAAAGTATACACTGTTGTAAATGTTGTACTTGTCTTTTCCCAGTGACTGAACTAGAAGTATACACTGTTGTAAATGTTGTACTTGTCTTTTCCCAGTGACTGTACTAAAAGTATACACTGTTGTAAATGTTGTGCTTGTGTTTTCCCAGTGACTGAACTAAAAGTATACACTGTTGTAAATGTTGTACTTGTCTTTTCCCAGTGACTGAACTAGAAGTATACACTGTTGTAAATGTGGTACTTGTCTTTTCCCAGTGACTGAACTAAAAGTATACACTGTTGTAAATGTTGTGCTTGTCTTTTCCCAGTGACTGAACTAAAAGTATACACTGTTGTAAATGTTGTACTTGTCTTTTCCCAGTGACTGAACTAAAAGTATATACTGTTGTAAATGTTGTGCTTGTCTTTTCCCAGTGACTGAACTAAAAGTATACACTGTTGTAAATGTTGTGCTTGTCTTTTCCCAGTGACTGAGCTAGAAGTATACAATGTTGTAAATGTTGTACTTGTCTTTTCCCTGTGACTGAACTAGAAGTATACACTGTTGTAAATGTTGTACTTGTCTTTTCCCAGTGACTGAACTAGAAGTAAACACTATTGTAAATGTTGTACTTGTCTTTTCCCAGTGACTGAACTAAAAGTATGCACTGTTGTAAATGTTGCACTTGTCTTTTCCCAGTGACTGAACTAAAAGTATACACTGTTGTAAATGTGGTACTTGTCTTTTCACAGTGACTGAACTAAAAGTATACACTGTTGTAAATGTTGTACTTTTCTTTTCCCAGTGACTGAACTCTGAACTAGAAGTATACACTGTTGTAAATGTTGTACTTATCTTTTCCCAGTGACTGAACTATAAGTATACACTGTTGTAAATGTTGTACTTGTCTTTTCCCAGTGACTGAACTAAAAGTATGCACTGTTGTAAATGTTGTGCTTGTCTTTTCCCAGTGACTGAACTAGAAGTATACACTGTTGTAAATGTTGTGCTTGTCTTTTCCCAGTGACTGAACTAAAAGTATACACTGTTGTAAATGTTGTACTTGTCTTTTCCCAGTGACTGAACTAGAAGTATACATTGTTGTAAATGTTGTACTTGTCTTTTCCCAGTGACTGAACTAGAAGTATACACTGTTGTAAATGTGGTAATTGTCTTTTCCCAGTGACTGAACTAAAAGTATGCACTGTTGTAAATGTTGTGCTTGTCTTTTCCCTGTGACTGAACTAAAAGTATACACTGTTGTAAATGTGGTAATTGTCTTTTCCCAGTGACTGAACTAAAAGTATGCACTGTTGTAAATGTTGTGCTTTTCTTTTCCCAGTGACTGAACTAAAAGTATACATTGTTGTAAATGTGGTAATTGTCTTTTCCCTGTGACTGAACTAGAAGTATACACTGTTGTTAATGTGGTAATTGTCTTTTCCCAGTGACTGAACTAGAAGTATACACTGTTGTAAATGTGGTAATTGTCTTTTCCCAGTGACTGAACTAAAAGTATACACTGTTGTAAATGTGGTACTTGTCTTTTCCCTGTGACTGAACTAAAAGTATACACTGTTGTAAATGTGGTGCTTGTGTTTTCCCAGTGACTGAACTAGAAGTATACACTGTTGTAAATGTTGTACTTGTCTTTTCCCAGTGACTGAACTAAAAGTATACACTGTTGTAAATGTGGTACAGGTGGTTGCTGTACGGGATCAGCTGGGAGGGAGTCATAAGCCACCCTTGCTGGTGAAGATAGCGCCTGACCTCACTGACCAGGACAAGCAGGACATTGCAGCAGTTGTCTCTTTGAAGAAGGTTAGAATCTAGACATCTTGGATGATGTGGTGTTGGATGACACGGGGTTTAACATTAGGTTCAAGATCATAGTTATCTATAGCAAAATGCATGTATGTGCATAACTGCTTGTACCATTGCGATTTATGCCAGTTTTATATTGCTGGCTCACTGACCTACCATGCCCCAGTTATAATGAATACCCTTCTCAGAATACAGTATACTGACTCCAAGCCAACCAATATTTATCTTATCCCTATAATCCTTGGTGCCAAGCAGGGTAACAGCAAGTACCATGTTTTAAAGTCTGTTGGTGGGATATGGCCAAGGACTCAACCTCCAACCACCAGATCATGGAGACATGTTGGTACTGAAATGCAGAAACAATATCTATTTCTACTGGACTGCATTTTCTTGATCTCTGTAGATCTCATTCTTTAATTCCATCTCACTGGCCTCCTGTACATACTATATATGTTGCTTGTGATCATATTCTGTCATTTACCTGATGAAGGGGCAAGTAGTAGCCCAGAAATGTCCTCTTGAAAAAATAGTAAAGAAGTTGGAAATCCATACCGTACATTGTTAAATGAGATTGGTCTTCATTACTTTTTGAGAGTTAGATATTGAGATTACGATGCTGTAAGACATTTTTGTCCAATTTCCATTTCTTTTCAAATGTTATTTCTCCTACAGAACGTTTTCATGGACTGAACTGACAAACATTATGTGTAGGGTGTTTGTCAGTTTCGTGGCAAAAGCTTTAATAGCCAAATCATATGATATGTTATATGTAATATTCCTTTTGTCTTTTACAGTGTCATGTTGATGGTCTGATTGTTACAAACACAACTGTGTCCCGCCCCCAAAGTCTAATGAGTGATTGCAAAGATGAGATAGGGGGATTGAGTGGAGAGCCCCTGAAAAATCTGTCCACTGCAACTGTCAGAGACATGTACAGACTGACACAAGGTACTGAGGCCCAACACTCTGTCCACTGCCACAGTCAGACACATGTACAGACTGACACAAGGTACTGAGACCCAACACTCTGTCAACTACCACAATCAGACACATGTAGAAAGAGACAGAGACCCAACACTCTGTCCACTGCCACAGTCAGACACATGTACAGACTGACACAAGGTACTGAGACCCAACACTGTCCACTACCACAGTCAGACACATGTACAAACTGACACAAGGTACTGAGACCCGACACTCTGTCCACTACCACAGTCAGACACATGTACAGACTGACACAAGGTACTGAGACCCGACACTCTGTCCACTACCACAGTAAGACACATGTACAGACTGACACAAGGTACTGAGACCCAACACTGTCCACTGCCACAGTCAGACACATGTACAGACTGACACAAGGTACTGAGACCCGACACTCTGTCCACTGCCACAGTAAGACACATGTACAGACTGACACAAGGTACTGAGACCCGACACTCTGTCCACTACCACAGTCAGACACATGTACAGACTGACACAAGGTACTGAGACCCGACACTCTGTCCACTACCACAGTAAGACACATGTAGAAAGACACAGAGACCCAACACTCTGTCCACTGCCACAGTCAGACACATGTACAGACTGACACAAGGTACTGAGACCCAACGCTCTGTCCACTGCCACAGTAAGACACATGTACAGACTGACACAAGGTACTGAGACCCAACACTCTGTCCACTGCCACAGTAAGACACATGTACAAACTGACACAAGGTACTGAGGCCCAACACTCTGTCCATTGCCAAAGTCAGACACATGTACAGACTGACACAAGGTACTGAGACCCAACACTCTGTCCACTGCCACAGTCAGACACATGTACAGACTGACACAAGGTACTGAGACCCAACACTCTGTCCACTGCCACAGTCAGACACATGTACAGACTGACACAAGGTACTGAGACCCAACACTCTGTCCACTGCCACAGTCAGACACATGTACAGACTGACACAAGGTACTGAGACCCGACACTCTGTCCACTGCCACAGTAAGACACATGTACAGACTGACACAAGGTACTGAGACCCAACACTCTGTCCACTGCCACAGTAAGACACATGTACAGACTGACACAAGGTACTGAGACCCAACACTCTGTCCACTGCCACAGTAAGACACATGTACAAACTGACACAAGGTACTGAGGCCCAACACTCTGTCCATTGCCAAAGTCAGACACATGTACAGACTGACACAAGGTACTGAGACCCAACACTCTGTCCACTGCCACAGTCAGACACATGTACAGACTGACACAAGGTACTGAGACCCAACACTCTGTCCACTGCCACAGTCAGACACATGTACAGACTGACACAAGGTACTGAGACCCAACACTCTGTCCACTGCCACAGTCAGACACATGTACAGACTGACACAAGGTACTGAGACCCGACACTCTGTCCACTGCCACAGTAAGACACATGTACAGACTGACACAAGGTACTGAGACCCGACACTCTGTCCACTACCACAGTCAGACACATGTACAGACTGACACAAGGTACTGAGACCCGACACTCTGTCCACTACCACAGTAAGACACATGTAGAAAGACACAGAGACCCAACACTCTGTCCACTGCCACAGTCAGACACATGTACAGACTGACACAAGGTACTGAGACCCAACGCTCTGTCCACTGCCACAGTAAGACACATGTACAGACTGACACAAGGTACTGAGACCCAACACTCTGTCCACTGCCACAGTAAGACACATGTACAAACTGACACAAGGTACTGAGGCCCAACACTCTGTCCATTGCCACAGTCAGACACATGTACAGACTGACACAAGGTACTGAGACCCAACACTCTGTCCACTGCCACAGTAAGACACATGTACAGACTGACACAAGGTACTGAGACCCAACACTCTGTCCACTGCCACAGTAAGACACATGTACAGACTGACACAAGGTACTGAGACCCAACACTCTGTCCACTACCACGGTCAGACACATGTACAGACTGACACAAGGTACTGAGACCCGACACTCTGTCCACTACCACAGTAAGACACATGTAGAAAGACACAGAGACCGAACACTCTGTCCACTGCCACAGTCAGACACATGTAGAAAGACACAGAGACCCAACACTCTGTCCACTGCCACAGTAAGACACATGTAGAAAGACACAGAGACCCGACACTCTGTCCACTACCACAGTAAGACACATGTAGAAAGACACAGAGACCCAACACTCTGTCCACTGCCACAGTCAGACACATGTACAGACTGACACAAGGTACTGAGACCCAACGCTCTGTCCACTGCCACAGTAAGACACATGTACAGACTGACACAAGGTACTGAGACCCAACACTCTGTCCACTGCCACAGTAAGACACATGTACAAACTGACACAAGGTACTGAGGCCCAACACTCTGTCCATTGCCAAAGTCAGACACATGTACAGACTGACACAAGGTACTGAGACCCAACACTCTGTCCACTGCCACAGTCAGACACATGTACAGACTGACACAAGGTACTGAGACCCAACACTCTGTCCACTGCCACAGTCAGACACATGTACAGACTGACACAAGGTACTGAGGACCCAACACTCTGTCCACTGCCACAGTCAGACACATGTACAGACTGACACAAGGTACTGAGACCCGACACTCTGTCCACTGCCACAGTAAGACACATGTACAGACTGACACAAGGTACTGAGACCCAACACTCTGTCCACTACCACAGTCAGACACATGTACAGACTGACACAAGGTACTGAGACCCGACACTCTGTCCACTACCACAGTAAGACACATGTAGAAAGACACAGAGACCCAACACTCTGTCCACTGCCACAGTCAGACACATGTACAGACTGACACAAGGTACTGAGACCCAACGCTCTGTCCACTGCCACAGTAAGACACATGTACAGACTGACACAAGGTACTGAGACCCAACACTCTGTCCACTGCCACAGTAAGACACATGTACAAACTGACACAAGGTACTGAGGGCCCAACACTCTGTCCATTGCCACAGTCAGACACATGTACAGACTGACACAAGGTACTGAGACCCAACACTCTGTCCACTGCCACAGTAAGACACATGTACAGACTGACACAAGGTACTGAGACCCAACACTCTGTCCACTGCCACAGTAAGACACATGTACAGACTGACACAAGGTACTGAGACCCAACACTCTGTCCACTACCACGGTCAGACACATGTACAGACTGACACAAGGCTGAGACCCGACACTCTGTCCACTACCACAGTAAGACACATGTAGAAAGACACAGGAGACCGAGAACACTCTGTCCACTGCCACAGTCAGACACATGTAGAAAGACACAGAGACCCAACACTCTGTCCACTGCCACAGTAAGACACATGTAGAAAGACACAGAGACCCGACACTCTGTCCACTACCACAGTAAGACACATGTAGAAAGACACAGAGACCCAACACTCTGTCCACTGCCACAGTCAGACACATGTACAGACTGACACAAGGTACTGAGACCCAACACTCTGTCCACTGCCACAGTAAGACACATGTACAGACTGACACAAGGTACTGAGACCCAACACTCTGTCCACTGCCACAGTAAGACACATGTACAGACTGACACAAGGTACTGAGACCCAACACTCTGTCCACTACCACGGTCAGACACATGTACAGACTGACACAAGGTACTGAGACCCGACACTCTGTCCACTACCACAGTAAGACACATGTAGAAAGACACAGAGACCGAACACTCTGTCCACTGCCAGTCAGACACATGTACAGACTGACACAAGGTACTGAGGCCCAACACTCTGTCCACTACCACAGTAAGACACATGTAGGAAGACACAGAGACCCAACACTCTGTCCACTGCCACAGTCAGACACATGTACAGACTGACACAAGGTACTGAGGCCCAACGCTCTGTCCACTGCCACAGTAAGACACATGTACAGACTGACACAAGGTACTGAGGCCCAACACTCTGTCCACTACCACAGTAAGACACATGTAGAAAGACACAGAGACCCAACACTCTGTCCACTGCCACAGTCAGACACATGTACAAACTGACACAAGGTACTGAGGCCCAACACTCTGTCCACTGCCACTGTCAGAGACATGTACAGACTGACACAAGGTACTGAGACCCAACACTGTCCACTGCCACAGTCAGACACATGTACAGACTGACACAAGGTACTGAGACCCAACACTCTGTCCACTGCCACAGTCAGATACATGTACAAACTGACACAAGGTACTGAGGCCCAACACTCTGTCCATTGCCACAGTCAGACACATGTACAGACTGACACAAGGTACTGAGACCCAACACTCTGTCCACTGCCACAGTCAGACACATGTACAGACTGACACAAGGTACTGAGACCCAACACTCTGTCCACTGCCACAGTCAGACACATGTACAGACTGACACAAGGTACTGAGACCCAACACTCTGTCCACTGCCACAGTCAGACACATGTACAGACTGACATAAGCTACTGCTGCCCAACATCCTGGTTACTACCACACAACATACACTTCCTGCGATCCATTGCAATATATATTGTATATATATGATACATTCTCTGGTCACAACAAACACCCAATAATGCGATGGCTTTCTCAGAAGAAAACTGTTAAACCGATGCCTGATGGGGACATATCAGGTGAGTAGGTAGACCAGTCAATACTTGCAGATTGTCAGTGACAATGAAGACATTCAATGCAAAAGGAACAAGATGTAAGATTTGAACAACAAAACACTGGCCAGTCAGGGTTTGACCAATCCAGCTCCACACACTTACACAACCATCCCCACATTGGTCATCATCCAGGATCATTCACTAATTTAATGCCAACAGCCTATTTCTGCCATCTCAGAATGGCAGCCAGAACATGCACACTGTATCATTTCATCCAAATATTGTCTTGAGGGGATTTTCACATGTTTGCTAAGCTGAATCCAACCTGTGCCAAAAACTTTCAGGTCTCTAGACGATCCATATATTACGATCCATAGTTCCTCTATTTTGTAAGTAGTTTAGAAATATTTAGCTTTACACATTGTATTTATTTTGACTGACTAAAGCAAAGTGGTTAGAAGAAGTCTGTAAACCCTAGCTTCCTCAGCTCATGGGAGAAGTCAGGTAATAAACTGCTACATATTTGGAATTTATTGAGTTTGGAAACACTCAGGAGTATGATCCATATGTCTATGAACCACACTAGGACTGTATTGCACACTGCGTGAATTCTTCAGTAATATCAAATAAATGTGTTTTGCATGATGTATCTTTTGAAAATTATCCCAGGTAAGATTCCCATCATCGGTGTAGGCGGAATCAGCTCTGGTGTGGATGCCTATGAGAAGATCCGTGCAGGAGCGAGTCTCCTGCAGCTGTACACCGCCCTGGTGTACCAGGGGCCACCTGTAGTCAGCCGCATCAAGAGGGAGCTCCAGGAACTACTGCAGTCAGTATATTACTGCCACCTGGAAACTTTATACTCTTGTGTTGTCATGATGGATGTGTTTAATATTAAACTCTACTAGATCTATAACATGTCACTTTCTCTTCTGGCTAACTTTAAACATGATAATAAAACACATTTAACACTAATAATAATAATTATTAGTTAAATAATTCCACCGAAACAGTCTCAAGGACAGCTGTGTAAGCATATGCTATTACTTATCCTAAGCAAGCTCTGTGTTGCTAGCTCCAGTAGCATGGTCCATGTACATACACATAGGTAGAGAGTACTGCTAGTTGTGTGTCATACTTCATCAGGACTACAGAGTGCTGTATGTGAATGTGTGAGGGACTTTGTGCTGTTGCAGGTCCGAGGGCTACTCCAACATATCCCAGGCAGTGGGAGCTGACCACAGGGACAAGTGACGGACCAAGCATGTACAAAGATGGATGTGAAGGTTCACATGGAGACTACACATTGTGTGTCAGCTGTGGAGCAGGCTGGGGAGTGGAGGTGGCAGACTGAGGTGCTCTCTCTGTACATGGCTGGTTCATGTAGCATCAACACAGCTCACGTTGGACTCAGTACCGTTTTCACAGGAGTGTTTGGTTTCCTTGTCACGTGTAGTAGATACTGAGGAGTGACATGGCTGATTTTCTGTTTGAAATGTAGACAACATTATATGTCCGGATATACTGGAAAGAGGATTTACTTTTGCTATTTCAGATCAGCTTTAATACATTGGTTTGTATATGTGAACTGGGACTTCTTGTTTTGATTACTGCATTAACATCGCCTAAACTTTACAGCCATCAGTGAATATACATATAGACATAAACATATATACCAATTTATTAAATTGATCTTGTATAGATTGTCATTTAGATTAAAGGTCACATGCAACCAAAAAATCAAACATAATTAAAACACAATTATCACTTATTCATGACATATAATATACATTGCTGGTAATGAAAAAACATATAAACAAAATTATCAGCGTACAATCGCAAATTAAAAGTGCAAAATTGTGTACTTAGGTTTACTTCCCAAGAAACGAAACAGCCGGGATACCGAACCCAGTCAGAGCGGGTGGGTGTGCACTCAAGTGTAACGGCTGGTTCATTTGCAGATGCCTTCACGGCTCATTGTGTGTGTGTATATATAGAGATGTTGGGTTTTGTAAATACATGCTCATTTTTTGTGTATAACATTTTGCAATCAACAGACATCATAACATGTCATGTGTTCAAGTATCACACCTGCCTGTCTGTGTAATTACATAATGTGACAGAGACCGAACTCGGGCCATAAATCAATGCATTTTGTTTATGGTGTATAGCCTGATTGGTGTTAAGTTCAAATTGCATGTGGTCAGTGATAGCAGCTGTGTATTGAATATTGTCAGTCAGGCAGGCAGACACACAGGTGTCAATAAAACAAGACATTGAGTTTTGTCTGTGACAACGACATATCTATATCACAGTTAGAAATTCTGTACAACGCTAAATAATGACATTGCTTTTAAGTATCGAACTGAGAAAGTGACTCGGTAAGAAGAACGTGTAGTGAAATAGACAAATGAAATTATATAAACAGTTTATTTACTGTCATAACATATAAAAAGCGGCCTGTGAGATATCAACAAAACATTAGAAAAATAGCTCACACCAAAACCTTCACCAGTATTCACCCGACAACCCGCTTCCAAGCTGCGTGAACCTATTTCACTGCGCAAATGCTATGAGCGCAGGCCAGCTGTTGAAACCCGTTTTCCCCAGAAAAGTCGGGGGAAAATTAGTGAAACGTTTGAACTCCGATTTCGCACGTTTTTTTTCATCGCGTTATTTTTTAACTTTATAAGTTGAATTTGCATTTTTGACGATTTGTTTTGGTAAGTCCATACCGAAAGGTATCAGAATCTGCAAAGTTGTGTATTACGTTGCATGTGACCTTTAAATGAGAGAGTGGTTTGTATTAAGAGTCAGTGTCAGAGAGTTAGTATGCCCCCTACTGTACCCTCGTCAGTGCGGTTTATCCACTTAAACTAGTAACCAGATTAATCTCTTGTCAAGTTTCAATTGTATTTCTCAGTTCTGTAATTCAAGTGATTCTTTGAGAATGCATTTTTAGATAGATTTGTAGATCTACACCCTTTCACATCTAATCTCAAAGTTTTTTGTTAAAATGTAGATTGTAAAACTGTAGTTCTATATGCAATGGGTTTGTGCCAAAAACTAACATAAGAATGTTTCCATATGCTCTCAAATTGTCATAATGTCCATATTTTATCCTGCATTACACTGTATTGCAGATACTGCTAGTAGACTGGGTCAACTAACGGGTTCAGGCTGTTGGAGTCACTGATTTAATTGGAGCATTTCCTAGTATCCCAACTGCCTATGATGTTAATCACTAGCCTGTCTGTCCCAGATTGATTATTTCCAGTCATGCCAACATAAAGCTGTCATATTGCTTAGTGCAGTGTTAAACAACAAACATACTGCTTCTACTTTGACAGAGGAAACAAAGGTGTGAGACATCCAGTTGAAAAAGAAGTTGTTCCAACCAGCTTGTCAAAATACAAGCAGTAAATGCATTAATGAGTAATTAGTGCTGTCGATGCATACTAGGCACTTTAGAAATCAATTATCATTATTATAATGCAGGGTACATATACAGGTATCAATATTATTTACATTTTACAAATCTTAGCCCAAATATGCATTTTCTGTAATACCTGTTTCTGTACAGTTCTGGGCCTCCTTTCACGAAGCAACCTTTACTAAGGTTAACCTTAACTCCCATTCTCTAACATTGCACTAAGGTTACCTTAGTGACTTACGATCACCGTTGTGCTTTGTGAAAGGAGGCCCTGGTTTGGGAGATAAACAAAGGAGGTGCTTTGTCACCATTTTATTAGACACTTACTGGTGATTTGTTTGAAGCTAAATAGAAATTGAATACGGTACATTTTTTCATGACTTTTTCCTAAACTTAGATATGTCATATAATAGACTGTATCTTCAAAAAACATTCTTAAAAGGATTGTGAAAAAAATGATACAAGTGCCATGTTATGGACCAAGATGGCATCCCCCCTCATCATAACTGCCAGCTGACTGATTTGAATGTTGTAAATATAGATAGAGGTTGCTGTACCACACCTGCTGGAAGTGCAGACATCTGCTGTGGAAGCAAGGTGCTCTCACTGCACCTCGCTCTGCGTTGAGTTATTTGCCAAGATGGCGGCAGATACATGGAACAAGATCAAGAGAAAGAAGGCAGCCAAGAAGACTGTGGCTGTTGTAAGTGCAGATTTATGTCCATGGACAATAGAGTGAGTGAGTAGTTTTACACTGCACTCCGCAATATTCCAGCTGTATGGCGGCGGTCTGTAAATAGAGTCTGGACCAGACAATCCAGTGATCAACAGCATGAGTATCGATCTGCGTAATTGGGAACCGATGACATATGTCAATCACATGGATGATAGACAAGTCAGCGAGTCTACTCTTGGGGCTAAAATTTGTCCCCAGTCTCAGTCCACCTCTATGCTCTCCAGTTGTGTTTTTTAACTTATCAAGAAACAAACATATATATAGATAGATGAGATCTATTTCCCCTATTTATACAATCAGAATTGAGAATTCTTTAATGCCACAGTAGAAGATAACTTAAGTATAGAGAAAAACTTGAAAAAAACAATCAACAAATGGTCCGTTAGTCCATCAAATTATTTAGACAGCCAGTTGTTAGACAGTGGAGTAGGGTATTAACTATGACAACACCTACCTCCATAATGGTACAGCTCTAATTAGATTGATGATAATTGATAATTTTTTAGGGGTATAGTCTGGGCTGGAGGGGTATACTTTGGCCTGGTCCAGAATATACCCCCGGGGTATAAACTGGGCTAGCCTATAGTTTACCCCGTGGTATAATCTGGTGGGGGGTTATTCAGGGCTGCTACACCGGAAACCCATGGTACTTACATGCAATACTTAAACCCTCTTGTGCCACAACTAAATCATTTGGTTGCTTCCAAGTCCACCAGAAGAAATAATTCAGAAATTCAATGAATGATGTGATTTGTTTGGACTTGAAGTACTGGTATGGAGAGAAGAAATACTGGGTGATCTTCAAGTAATATGTAAGTACGTGTACCTACTTAGTACAGCACAAACAAGCGTCCAGTATATCAGGGGGATTTTCAGTTATACTTCGAGCTGCATCGTCAGATGTTCCAAATGCACAGATATTTTATTTCACAGATCCAGTCTTCACTACAAAAATAAGGTTCCATATGTCTCAAATTTATTCTGCTTGGACAAAATGTGGACCAATGTTACACAAGGTACATGGTGTGTCCGACCTTTTGTGTCAGACTTTATGATATCACTGTAATGTCCACTGAGAAATGTAGTGTGCATTATGGCATTCGAAATGAAAATAGGGAAAAATGAAGAGAAATTGAAGAGAGGCGTTGAATGAAAACGCATTTCAAGATATTAAGGGACCATTCAGAATTAATGGCTAGGGGGGGTGATGTTGATTTTTATGGAAAAGCATGATGACCCCCACCAAAATTTTTTTGTAAGGGCTAAAATATACCTACTAGGATTCCATAAGAATATCATGTTTAATTTTGACATTTATTGCATTTTTTGTAAGGGCTAAAATATCCCTACTAGGATTCCATAAGAATATCATGGTTAATTTTGATTCCATAAGAATATTATGGTTAATTTTGACATTTATTGCATTTTTTGTAAGGGCTAATATATCCCTACTAGGATTCCATAAGAATATCATGGTTAATTTTGACATTTATTGCATTTTTTGTAAGGGCTAATATATCCCTACTAGGATTCCATAAGAATATCATGGTTAATTTTGACATTTATTGCATTTTTGTAAGGGAATATCAATATATCCCTACTAGGATTCCATAAGAATATCATGGTTAATTTTGACATTTATTGCATTTTTTGTAAGGGCTAATATATCCCTACTAGGATTCCATAAGAATATCATGGTTAATTTTGACATTTATTGCATTTTTTGTAAGGGCTAATATATCCCTACTAGGATTCCATAAGAATTTCATGGTTAATTTTGACATTTATTGCATTTTTTGTAAGGGCTAATATATCCCTACTAGGATTCCATAAGAATATCATGTTTAATTTTGACATTTATTGCATTTTTTGTAAGGGCTAATATATCCCTACTAGGATTCCATAAGAATTTCATGGTTAATTTTGACATTTATTGCATTTTTTGTAAGGGCTAAAATATCCCTACTAGGATTCCATAAGAATTTCATGGTTAATTTTGACATTTATTGCATTTTTTGTAAGGGCTAAAATATCCCTACTAGGATTCCATAAGAATATCATGGTTAATTTTGACATTTATTGCATTTTTGTAAGGGGATTCCATAAGAATTTCTACATTTATTGCATTTTTTGTAAGGGCTAATATATCCCCACTAGGATTCCATAAGAATATCATGACGCAACTAAGCTCACTACCTTTGTAAACAGCCAGCGTTTTGGTCATCCTTGCATGTATTGTTCATAAATACGGTTTCAGAAGGACAACGATATTAAATAGTATTGAAATACAGATCTAGAAATTGTGTGTGCCTGTGTGTGCCTGTGGATACATTTGAGAGTGCATGGGTGAGTGTATGTAACATTCATATAGAGCAAATTCAAAATGTATCATATCTCCGAAGTCTTTTTACATTTAAAACTATCAAATTGTGTTGTAAACGTGAATAATCACAGTCACGTCCAGCCTTTCTTTTTTAAGGTTGTTCGTGATATTATGAACTAACTTGTAACATATCTAGTGTATCAATAGGCTATATGAAATGAGTATGAATATATATGTACATATGTGACATCTGTGATACGTCTCTGTGTATATGATTTGGAAGTACCATGGGATGATGTATAAAAAATGCTAATATATCTGACTGAGGTGACTTGTATACTGAGGAATAGCAAGAATCATGTGTTTTACAGATATAATCCACGCATGCAGGTGACGGTATAACTGCCAGATTATGGACAACTTTGATTAATATGGATTACACGGTAACTACTTCAAAGTCTTCTGCAAATTAAAATTTCTAGTGCATTTTTACTTCGATCAACTGACTGCTGATGTAAGCAAACACAAACACCAAGTGCAGATTATAATATACTGAACAACATTAGAAACGCACCACACTAAAATGCACCGACATCATTGGTCATCAATGGGTCATCAATGCTCAGATATCATCGGTACATTTCAGTCTGACGGGGATATTTCGTATTATGTGGGTGGTGCGTTTCTAATGTTGTTCAGTATAGGTTGATGTGCATCTGCGCCTGTAGCCACAGTGGTATACTTACTTCCAGAGAAGGTGCGTGACTTCCATTAGCAGTGACAAAACAAGAACGAGAAATATTGTTATTACTGTGTCACATGTTCAATAAATCGGTTCATGTCAACACTTAGTAAAATATAATATCAGACCAAAAGGGCCACGAGACACGATGGCCACACTAAGAACATTTCATAGAAAGTGGTGTTTCTTTTATACAAAATATGTAAATCAGAAATCAAAATATAATTTAAGGCTTGAGTGTGGTGATACATTATCGAAGACTGTTGACTGTTGAGGTAGATTTGCAATATGTTCTTTCAAATTGTGACCAAGGAATGCGGCAACTAGACCGACTGGTTTGGACGTAGGTATAACTAGACCGACCGGTTTGGACGTAGGTATAACTAGACCGACTGGTTTGGACGTAGGTATAACTAGACCGACTGGTTTGGACGTAGGTATAACTAGACCGACCGGTTTGGACGTAGGTGTAACAGGGTTTCATTTCATAGTGTGCCACACGTTCCATTGGCGACATCTCTTAATAAACAGTAGGTCAAGGGATTATGGGTATGTTCTGTTGTCAAATGGAGTCTGTGAGGACAACTTTACCCCGATTTTAGCCAGCAATAACACGGTGGGGGACACCAGATATAGGCTTTACACATTGTACCCATGTGGGGAATCGAACCCGGGTTACCACTAGGTTAACCCCCATCCCCCATATGTCTGAAGGAACAGCGAGTGAGTGAATGAGTTTAGTTTTACGCCGCACTCAGCAATATTCCAGCTATACGGTGGCAGTCTGTAAAACAATCGAGTCTGGACCAGACAATCCAGTGATCAACAGCATGAGCATCGATCTGCGCAATAGGGAACCGATGACATGTGTCAACCAAGTCAGCGAGCCTGACCACCCGATCCCGTTAGTCGCCTCTTACGACAAGCATAGTCGCCTTTAGTGGCAAGCATGGGTTGCTGAAGACCTATTCTATCCCGGATCTTCACGGGTACTGAAGGAACAGAAGGATATGAGCACAGATAACTTAGTCGCAGTATCAAGCCCCGTCAAATGGTCATGCATGGCGACCACAAGGGCTGTGACCGTCAGCGATGCCTCCGACCATCACGATGCTGCCAACACCATATGCTGAACGTTCACCCACCAACACACGCGTCAACGTAAAGTGACATTAATTAGCGAAGATGACTGCCCTATATATCCTGGACGTCAGATGATGTTTTCACGTATCTGCTTATATGATAATCAATATTATTGTCATTCTGACAAACACGGATTTGGGCGTCAAATTTCAATGTGCAAAATGATCGATAAAATCATTGCTTGAATAATGCACACGATAGACAGTGGATAATACACGGACAATCATTTTTAATGTATGCTCGGCGTCATTAATACAGGGTCAAACACTACATCTTGAAAGTTGTAAAGTCTTCGTTTTTGTTTGAAATTTATACAACTGAATATTTTACAAAATCTCTTAACAGTATGGGAAAACACAACATGCCGTTGAAATGTCATTAAATATTCCGTTCTTCAACGTCCGCTACATTCTGACACAAATGGCACATTTTTTATTCAAATTATCAATATGGAAATCCACCTGCCACTTAATATCAATGATTTACACGTGCAAGTCACTCTATCCATGGAAAGTGGAGGACAATACACATACATTGATGCTTTTACACTGTTGTTCACTGTTCAGGTACCTGTTTGAAATCGCAGCTAAAAATGAGACGTTTTTTGACACTTGCTGAAAGGGGTCCGACTATAGGCCTTTTGGTATCGACAAACTACCGTGTCACGTATTGTAACCACGTATTGTAATCGGCTTTTGGGATTAAAGGTGATAATGGAAACCAATTTTCACCCTGGGTTAGGCGCTTAGTTTATTTACACAACGCTCAGCAATACTCCAGCTATAAGAAGGCGGTCTGTAAATAACTGAATGTGAACTAGCCAATCCGGGGATTGACATCATGAGCAATCACGAGCAGCTGGGAAACGATGACATGCACTATCCATATCACTAAGTCTTGACTACCCGATCCCGTTTGTCGCCAAGCAGGTATGCTGAACACCAACCCGAACCTTCACGGGATACTGATATTTGTTTTATGAAATATTGCAATGGAAAACCTTAAATAACTCTTACATCGAAGAATGGGCTAGCACTTGCGACCTTACTTTTGTTTCTTAATCAGATACAGAAATCACAGTCACCATAACTCGCACAAAACTATGTAATGCTGGTGGTCGTTTAAGATGTTTTAGTGGAAATGTATACTATAATGAAACTAATACGAGGGCATCCTTGAGCCTTACTAAGAGAACCATTGAGTTGAATCAGAAACAGACCACCATTTTGTAAATATGTTAAGGTTTAATCATTCGTCACCTTTATTTGGTACTTTAACGTGTTATTTCCACATTCATAAGACAAAAAAAGAATGATTAGGTCATAAGGGGCTTTGAATTCTAGTTCTATTCTTGCTTTTCGAAATTGTCTTTGGTTAAATTCTCAACAAGGGGCAGCAGCCGTCTCATGTGGTGGTCAAGAGCTATGAGTGCTTTAGAAATATTCTTGAGAGGTTCCAAAGCCGCAACCAGGTCATTGACCTTCTCCTCAAGTATTCGTGAGTCTGAAAGGTCGTCATCTTGGGATTTAAGATCCTCTTCATCCTGATCTTCATCACTTTCTTCACGAACATATGTATTGAAATCTGCTGAAGAGGTGAATTCCCCGGATTTCTTCGTCATGTCACAGGAGGTGGTGGGCACGGACTTGCCTCTTCCCCCCAAACAGCTGCTTCCAACCTCGGCCGATTGGTCCATAATCCTACAAGGAGTTCTTGTTCCGTTCTGCCGACCTGCTGGTGGAAGCTCACCAGGGGCTGATGTACCAACGCTGTGAGGAGCCTTGCAAACACGGCCACGAACCCTGCATTCTGAAAATGTGGACGACTCCAAACTACTTTTTTCCGTTGTGCTGGAACTTGCTGCAACTCTATCAGGCTCTGTTTCCTGTAATTCCCAACTTTCCACATTTAGATTTCTGTCGACCATATCCCTCCTGTTGTTGTCAGTCTGTATTTGTTCGTTTTGCCCGGATAAATTCCTTACTCTTGCATTACTGATTGGAAACTGTGATTGATTACCCGCCGTCCTCCATGTACAATGCCCAATGTTTGGTTCACCATCAATTCCACGCTTTACGCTCGGACATACAGTATGCACAATCGAGCGTTCCTGGTCAGTCATGAGAACCGGTTTTACATACCCATCTGGGATGATAAGTTCTTGGTGTGTGGTATCGGTATGTGGAATGTGGACGTCAGCCTGCGGAATCAGGAATTGGTCGGGGTCGCTGGATCTGCTCCTATCTGGTTGGTCTTGTCTGCGAAGTCTCTTCTTGTGGCTGTAGGTCTGAATACGTCGCTCATCACAAGCGTCATAGTCAGGCATGGCTGGACTGTCTCTAGTGTCATAATCCTGAAACCTTGCCTCTCTGTCGGAATCGTCCATGTCACTCCATCGGCGTTTGTTGGTCACAGTTCCGCCCTCCACGAACATACGTTTACAAGCCTCCTTTCCGTCATCGTTCATACCCTTGACGGTAGATTCGTTCACTGGCACGATGTCCTGGCCAACACGGACAACGTAAGGGTTGTGTGACTTGATGTATGTTGTCGGGACACCGGGATGTGTTTTCTCAGCAGATTTATGAATGAAATGTCCTTCATGGCGATGCAGAGCTTGTTTTGAGGGGGCACGGAAGCCGCACTTGCTGCACGACCACGGGACTCTATCTAGCGTCACGTGGGCTCGAACAAAGTGTTCCATCATCACCTGCCTGCTGCCTGTTTTGGAACACTTAATGCATTCAAAGACTTGGGCATTCATCATCTTCTTCCTCTTCGTCTTTCTGCAACAAGATCATGCTAGTGCAATATTCATACCGTCTTTGTATTTCCAGTTATACTTGAAATATTTTTATATACATGATATCATCAACACCTTGCAGCAATACTATTGACAACTGTATGTGTATAATTACGTTGTAATATTGGAAATGACATTTGAGTATCAATGGAGTATTTCAACCTTATTTTTTTAAAATACACACCGGAAGTCAAGTTTGAGGAAACATGAATCGTGGTCATATAGCCTGTTTTGCCCAATAAAGAATTGTTTGAGATTGATGTTAGAAATGCAAATCGAGATGCACGTGCATCATGAATGCATTCAGGCATAAATTGCCGGCTTGAATGGCAATCGTTCACTTGTTTTCTGAACACAGCAGCTATGGCTAGGTTAACGAGAGATCAACGACAACAAGCCATTGGACGTCTACACGCTGGTCAACGTGCTGGAGTCAATGCTAATGACTTCAGTTGCAGCGTACGAATGATTGAACGTCTTAGAGAGCTATACAACGCCACCAATAGCACTCATGACCGTCCACGTAGTGGTCAACCTCGTGTAACAACACGCCGCCAGGACAGCCATATCATCCAACAACACGTGCAAGACCGATTAGCAAGAGCCACAGAAAGAGCTCGGATGACCATAGGAAACCACCAGCCACCATTCAGTGACCGAACCATTCGGCGACGTCTCCAAGTCAGGAACCTGTTTTGTCGACGTCCTGCCAGGAGACACATATTCACCCAACGTCACCGCTGGGAACGTCTCCAGTGGGCACAACAGCGGCCAAACTGGCGTAGGAGACAATGGAGATGGGTTATCTTCTCTGATGTAAGTCGGTACTGCATTTCACTGGCGTATATTTTAAATAAAATAGGTTCAAATATTCCATTGATACTTAAATGTCATTTCCAATATTACGACGGTTTCTTTTGCCTTTCAGTATATTATACTTTCAGGACAAAACAATATTTGTAGTTTGTTATAGAAACGACCCACCAGCTCTAGACTAGATTCACTGACACCTTACTACAGTGACGGTATGCATCACATCCACGTCTTGATGCAGCAGACCCAGAGCAGGTTCACTCACATGTATCAGTCCGTGGTCAGGTAGGTATGCTTTAGAAAGCAAGCCCCAGGAGGGGCATCGCAGCACAGCATGGTCAGGCATCTAGTATACGACCAGACCCTCCCGTACAGCATAGTCACGCATCTAGTATAAGGCCATCGTGTTAAGTTGGTCGTGCCATACATTAACATTAACTTACGATTATCTTAGCTCAGAGAGTTTCGAAAATCTAGGCCCTGAGCTCTTCACAGCCGCATCATCCCTTCAGAAAACTTCCCTCTTGGATCATGGTACAAATGGCCTTCACGACCTTTTTTATAGAATTCCGCTGAAGATCTGGACAAACACTCAACATTGATGGGTGTCATTAGGTTTTTACCCAACAAATTATTCTCCACTACAGTAAACTAAAACATCTTTAGTGTGGCTCTTTAATAAAATCAAGGTAATGGAGTATTGTTTACAATGTAATACACCCTTCACACTGAGGCGGGGCAGTGGGGTAGCCTAGTGGTTAAAGCGTTGGCTCGTCACGCCGAAGACCCGGGTTCGAATCCCCACATGGGTACAATTTGTGAAGCCCATTTCTGGTGTCCCCCGCCGTGATGTTGCTGGAATATTGCTAAAAGCGGCTTAAAACCAAACTCAGTCAGTCAGTCAGTCACACTGAGGCGGAATGAGCCGGAAAGCTGTCGGAAAGAAAATTCCTGGAGATTCCTGGAAATTCCGACTGCATTCTAAAACTTCTTACTCCATTCCGAATGCTCTCAAACTAACATGTTCAAAACTTTCGAGGTACATTCGAAGTGGAAAACTATCGAACAACATTTGAAGTGCATTCTAACTGCATTCTAAGTATTCTTACTGCATTCTAACTGCATTCTAAGTATTCTGTACGTGTTCGAGGGAGAATCGAAAAGGCAAACCACTTCAAATCCTGCAAGAATGTCCCGAATGCGCCTCGAATGTATTTCGATTGCTGGTGGAATTTAGGTGGAATATTCTTCAAACGTATCGGAATATTTCGACTGCACTTAGAATACAGCTAGAATGTACATCGAATACACCTCGAATACAGTCGGAACGTCCCGATTGCTCTTCAAATGAGCCCTGACGTCGTCAGAACACCACCGAATCGCATAAAAACGTAGTCACCTGTCACTGAAACTTCAGATATCATTCACATCTTCAAGCTGCGCAAGTTGTCTCCAGCCTCCTGGCACCACGTTGTGCTGCTCATCTTCCTCATCCACCATACCATTGTGGAGATTAGGATAACGAGTCCTCATCAAGTTGTGCAGGCAGACACAACATTCAATGGTGTCCTTCACAACGGAAGACCTTGGCAGCATGGTGGTGGGGAGGATTTGCCAACTCTGAGACATGATTCCAAATGCATTTTAGACTACCCGTCGACCCTGCTGATCCTGTAGTTGTAGATTCTCTCATCTCTCTGGAGAGTCCTATGACCATACGGTTTCATCAAGAAGGCCTTTATTCCAAAGGCATCATCTCCCAGAATAAAGCATGGCATACGCTCGTCATCTTGGGGTAAGGGGAACGGATCAGGAAATCCCATGCTCCTGTCTTCAAGGCAATCCTTGAGCTTGCACTCGTTGAAGATCTAAGCATCAGACATACTTCCGGAAGAACCTACGTCCACCCACTGGAATTTGTAATTGCCACCCACAAGGGCCATGAGGACCACAGAGAAGAAGCCCTTGTAGTTGTGGTACAATGAGCCGCTCTTGGCAGGTTTCCTGATGGCCACATGTTTCCCATCTAAAGCTCCTACAGAATGAAGAATATTCCACCTGTTTTTGAATACCTCTTCAATGGGTGCCCAGTCTTCTGGAGTGGTAGGGCAGATGATAAGCTCATCTTTGTCTTCCTCCACAATGACCTTACATACTTCTGGTATGATCAGGCTGACTGTGTTCCTTGCCACGCGGAAGCTGTACATGATGCTGGGATACCTATCACCTGAAGCCAGGAACCTCAATGTGATGGCTAGCTTCAAGCACCTTTCTCATATATGTATCCTGATTCTGTATTCTTGGTCCCACTTTCTGCACCAACTCATCAAACATGGCAGGCTCCATCCTAAGGTAGTTGAAGAATGACTGCGTGTCCTCAACTCTGAGCTCCTGCATTAGTCTTGTGTAATGTCCATACAGCCTCCTCCTTTCCTCTGTCAGCCATTGTCGGGTCTGGAATCTCCTGGATCTTCTCCTGTTTCTTCGCCTGGTCTCCTGCACATCTCTTTCAATCAGTGCTTGCTGGAGGACAGCAATCTGGAGCAACGCAACATGGTCCAGGGGTCCATACTGTATAGGAGTTGGGCAGAGACCGATGAATAGTCCAGATTCAACAGGTTTTCATACCCCATCGTGGAACATTCTGGCAGCATTCTTGATGCATTTCGGACATTCGTGTTACATTCTAAGTGCATTTGAAGGACATTTGAAATATTCGAGCTGCATTCTGTTTTAATACTTTGACATTTTATCCATATTTGGGGGTCATTCCAAGAGGGTTGTGAAAGCATTCTATGTAAATCCGTACAGCATTCGAGGATCGTTCCAACTGAAATTCGAGTGCTTCACGCAGCAATCGAACCGGCCTCGTACGGCAGTCGAAATTCATTTTAAGTATTCCTAATGTATTCTAACGGCATTCTAATTATTCCTACTGTATTCCGATTCATTCGAGCTGCATTCGTGATCTAGTACATTTGGAATGAGTAAGAATCATTCGAGGCGGGTTCGAAGTGAGTTCTAAGGATTCCAACAGCATTCTTACAAATTAGAGTTCTCACAGAGATAACACCCTCAGGATGTCTGCGACAATTTTTTTCTTTACAATATCAAAACTTGAGTAAAAGCACTTGAGTAAAACTTTTGAATACTTTCTAGAAGGGATCAACAGGCAACACTGTGACCAGTCCATAATGCATTATAGTCGGCAATGCCGTATGGACCAGATTTGGACGTACAGAAGATATCTCGAAACCGTGCAACGTGTTAATGGACACATCGCTATGTCCACATGTTTCGATTCAATGGAAGCTTATGCCACAACCAATGAACATGCATATTATCCTTGATGTTATTTATAGACGGGCAGTGTGAAGTTTTAAGTTGTTCAATAGAAAAATACTCGAGAAATCTCTCAGCTTGCCTTGTCAGACGATGTGCAGCCGGACAAACCAATCACACAGTATCAAGAAAACACAGAACATTACCCCATTTTGTTATTCCCAATGTCAGTAGATACTTCAAGGGTACTTCAAGCCTGCGAACGCACTGTCGGTCCAGCAATGGTATACTCTGAAAACAAAAAACATATAATTTCTTTCAAGCGTAAAATGTAATGTGTCATCATTCTGTTCCATTTGTGGATGCAATGTGTAACCAGGGATACCAGGCAGTAGATTGTCCGACACGCTGTAACCAGGGATAACAGACAGTACAGTGTCCGACACACTGTAACCAGGGATACCAGGGAGTAGATTGTCCAACACACTGTACCCAGCGAGTCCAGGCATTATAAATAAATGTCTGCGAAATCGAGAAATCCGGATACATAATTTTTTGCGAGGTCCTTTTGATGAATATAGTAATTGCACAGACCGTTATGAGTTTCTCGAAATCTGAAATCTAAGATCAAAATATCAATGAAAGTCTGGTAGTTGAAGCTCATTCAGTTCAGCCAGTCAGTAAGTGCGTATTGTTTTACGCCACCGCATATTCAGTCAATATCTTGGTGGTCATCAATAACGGAGTCTAGATGACGCAAACGATTTCCTGCTGGAGATTCAGGACTTATACCGCTGGAGAACTATCAGATCTGGCTCGGAACACCGAGTGGTTTCAGATTAGTCTGACCTCGTTATCATTGCCTCGTTGTTGACATTGTGCACAGTACATAATATACTGGGTCTTATGGACGTCAGCGTCAACAGATGCAAACGAATTCTACTTATTGGTGGTGCTGCTGGGAGGGAAGTGTGACAGAAAGTAAAGTATGTGAACATAGCATACCGTCTGTGGGAGACATGTTGGCGCCGTCTGTCGGTAGGACTGACTGACAGGCAGGCCGCAAATGAAACTCGTGAATGCAATGTTTTATTACGTAAGGCATGTATGCGCCGACGTTGTGAACACACATCTCAATTGTCACGTGCAAACCTGCCCTTTTGGTTGTTTGAAAGGAAAGCCTCAGTAAGCTGTTTTGTAGTGTACAGTGTACTGAACTACATTAGAAAAGCATCACCCAAAAATACTTCCCATCAATAGTTTAGACTCACTTAAAACACCCACTTTATGTTATGTATACACTGTAACCAGCTAGTCCAGGCAGTACTGTGTCTGACAGACTGTAACCAGCTAGTACAGGCAGTACTGTGTCTGACACACTGTAACCAGGGATACCAGGCAGTAGATTGTCTGACACACTGTAACCAGGGATACCAGGCAGTAGATTGTCCGACACACTGTAACCAGGGATACCAGGCAGTACTATGTCTGACAGACTGTAACCAGGGATACCAGGCAGTAGATTGTCTGACACACTGTAACCAGGGATACCAGGCAGTAGAGTGTCCGACACACTATAACCAGGGATACCAGGCTGTACTGTGTCCGACACACTGTAAGCAGGGATACCAGGCTGTACTGTGTCCGACACACTGTAACCAGGGATACCAGGCTGTACTGTGTCCGACACACTGTAACCAGGGATACCAGACAGTAGATTTTCTGACACAGAGTAACCAGGGATACCAGGCTGTACTGTGTCCGACACACTGTAACCAGGGATACCAGGCAGTACATTGTCCGACACACTGTAACCAGGGATACCAGGCAGTAGATTGTCCGACACACTGTACCCAGGGATACCAGGGAGTAGATTGTCCGACAAACTGTAACCAGGGATACCAGGCTGTACTGTGTCCGACACACTGTAACCAGGGATACCAGGCAGTAGATTGTCCGACACACTGTAACCAGGGATACCAGGCTGTACTGTGTCCGACACACTGTAACCAGGGATACCAGGCTGTACTGTGTCCAACACACTGTAACCACAGATACCAGACAGTAGAGTGTCCGACACACTGTAACCAGGGATACCAGGCTGTACTGTGTCCAACACACTGTAACCAGGGATACCAGGGAGTAGAGTGTCGACACACTGTAACCAGGGATAACAGACAGTACAGTGTCCGACACACTGTAACCAGGGATACCAGGCTGTACTGTGTCCGACACACTGTAACCAGGGATACCAGGCAGTAGATTGTCCGACACACTGTAACCAGGGATACCAGGCTGTACTGTGTCCGACACACTGTAACCAGGGATACCAGGCTGTAGATTGTCCGACACACTGTAACCAGGGATACCAGGGAGTAGATTGTCCGTCACACTGTAACCAGGGATACCAGGCTGTACTGTGTCCGACACACTGTAACCAGGGATACTAGGCTGTACTGTGTCCGACACACTGTAACCACAGATACCAGACAGTAGAGTGTCCGACACACTGTAACCAGGGATACCAGGCTGTACTGTGTCCAACAGACTGTAACCAGGGATACCAGGGAGTAGAGTGTCGACACACAGTAACCAGGGATAACAGACGGTACAGTGTCCGACACACTGTAACCAGGGATACCAGGCTGTACTGTGTCCGACACACTGTAACCAGGGATAACAGGCAGTACAGTGTCAGACACACTGTAACCAGGGATACCAGGGAGTAGATTGTCCGACACACTGTAACCAGGGATACCAGGCTGTACTGTGTCCGACACACTGTACCCAGGATACCAGGCTGTACTGTGTCCGACACACTGTAACCAGGGATACCAGGCAGTAGATCGTCCAACACACTGTACCCAGCGAGTCCAGGCATTATAAATAAATGTCTGCGAAATCGAGAAATCCGGATACATAATTTTTGCGAGGTCCTTTTGATGAATATAGTAATTGCACAGACCGTTATGAGTTTCTCGAAATCTGAAATCTAAGATCAAAATATCAATGAAAGTCTGGTAGTTGAAGCTCATTCAGTTCAGCCAGTCAGTAAGTGCGTATTGTTTTACGCCACCGCATATTCAGTCAATATCTTGGTGGTCATCAATAACGGAGTCTAGATGACGCAAACGATTTCCTGCTGGAGATTCAGGACTTATACCGCTGGAGAACTATCAGATCTGGCTCGGAACACCGAGTGGTTTCAGATTAGTCTGACCTCGTTATCATTGCCTCGTTGTTGACATTGTGCACAGTACATAATATACTGGGTCTTATGGACGTCAGCGTCAACAGATGCAAACGAATTCTACTTATTGGTTGTGCTGCTGGGAGGGAAGTGTGACAGAAAGTAAAGTATGTGAACATAGCATACCGTCTGTCGGTAGGACTGACTGACAGGCAGGCCGCAAATGAAACTCGTGAATGCAATGTTTTATTACGTAAGGCATGTATGCGCCGACGTTGTGAACACACATCTCAATTGTCACGTGCAAACCTGCCCTTTTGGTTGTTTGAAAGGAAAGCCTCAGTAAGCTGTTTTGTAGTGTACAGTGTACTGAACTACATTAGAAAAGCATCACCCAAAAATACTTCCCATCAATAGTTTAGACTCACTTAAAACACCCACTTTATGTTATGTATACACTGTAACCAGCTACTCCAGGCAGTACTGTGTCTGACAGACTGTAACCAGCTAGTCCAGGCTGTACTGTGTCTGACAGACTGTAACCAGGGATACCAGGCTGTACTGTGTCCGACACACTGTAACCAGGGATACCAGGCTGTACTGTGTCCGACACACTGTAACCAGGGATACCAGGCAGTAGATTTTCTGACACAGTGTAACCAGGGATACCAGACTGTACTGTGTCCGACACACTGTAACCAGGGATACCAGGCAGTAGATTGTCTGACACACTGTAACCAGGGATACCAGGCTGTACTGTGTCCGACACACTGTAACCAGGGATACCAGGCAGTAGATTGTCCGACACACTGTAACCAGGGATACCAGGGAGTAGATTGTCCGACACACTGTAACCAGGGATACCAGGCTGTACTGTGTCCGACACACTATAACCAGGGATACCAGGCAGTAGATTGTCCGACACACTGTAACCAGGGATACCAGGGAGTAGATTGTCCGACACACTGTAACCAGGGATACCAGGCTGTACTGTGTCCGACACACTGTAACCAGGGATACCAGGCAGTAGATCGTCCAACACACTGTACCCAGCGAGTCCAGGTTAATGATCTGGTTAATGTGTATGACGTACTACACGGTATCGAGCAGACGACCATTAGATCCAGGGAGCGGTGCGGCCGTCACGTAGACTTACAAGTCAGTGTATTTGAACCATGAAGATTAAAGGGTGTTAAAGTTATATACAACGCTTGTTCTTCCTTGCAATACTTGGACTTCACGATACTATATTCTGGCGACGAGGATAAACAACGAAACACGAAGATAATCAACGATAAACAACTCAATGTGAAATAACTTTTCAAGATGTCAACAAGTTTGCCAAACTTCCCGCGATTCGAAGTGCACAGTGATTCAAACGCTGGACCTCGTTGGACAAAATACATTGCCAGGTTTGAACGTTTATTGCTTGCATTAGACATTAATGACAATATTCGCAAGCGTGCACTTTTGTTACATTATGCAGGGCCCGATGTTGATGACATTTTCGATACACTTTCAAATACCGGAGAAGATGACGATTATGATCTAGCCAAAGGAAAACTCACTGAGTATTTCACGCCAATTGTAAACACTGCTTTTGAACTTCACAATTTTCGCATGGCAAAACAGTTGGATTCAGAAAGCATAGACACTTATTGTACAAGGCTCAGGCAACTTGCCAAAACATGTGATTTTACCGATGTTGATAAAGAAATTGCAGCTCAGATTGTGATAGGATGTACGTCACAGAGACTTCGTAGAAAAGCATTGCGAGAAAATCTACATCTCAGAGACTTACTGAATGCAGGAAAATCACTAGAACTCAGTGAATCACAGGCATCAAATGTTGAGAAATCAGAATCAAAATTTGTAAACAACGTGTCACGTGGCAGAGGTAGAGAAAGATTCAGTGGTTCAAGACATCGTAGCAGAAATAAATCTCATCATAGAAGCAAATCAAGACATGAGAATGCTAGATACAGACATGAAGGCAAACAATCCTACTCACAAAATACATCAAACAATTCAAGTAAACAATGTTATTTCTGTGGAGGCAATTATCCCCATACAGGCAGATGTCCGGCAAGAGGCAAAATATGTGAATCATGTGGTATCAGAAATCATTTTGCAAGCGTATGTAGACGCAGAAATCAGCATGCAAGAGTTCAGAATATTGAAACAGAACAAGACAGTACAGTTGTAAATGATTTCATGAATGACTCAGAAGAAAGTTACTACCTGTATCCAATATTTCACGAAAGGCAAGATGAGGAAGATTTTATGAACGCTTCATCTAATATCAACACTACTAGACTTGGCTCATCACAGAGAAGAATGCCTATCAAGAACATTGACATTTCCGGAAAAGAATTTCCAGTTATCATTGATTCAGGTGCATCAGTAGACGTTATGGATCAGCAAACATGGGATACACTCAAGAGAGAAAAACTTGTGTTAGGCACACTCAGAAACACTCAACGCAAACTATTTGCATATGGATCAGATAAACCTTTACCAATCATGGGTGTTGTGACTTTACCAGTGACACATGATCAAGTTCAAGTAGAATGTGAATTTCACATAGTTCGAGGAAGATCAGGAAATCTACTTAGTTTCAAATCAGCAGAGGATCTTGAGATATTGAAGATTGCAAGAAATATCAACACAAGAGATATTACAGATGAATTTCCAGAATTGTTCACAGGTGGCATAGGTAAAATAAAAGACAGACAAGTGAAACTTCATGTTGATGAAAACATTCAACCAACTCGACAACCACATCGAAGAATTCCATTTCATGTGAGAAAGGATGTAGAAAATGAACTGAAACGTTTAGAAGAATTAGACATCATCGAGAAAGTT